TGTTTGTTCATCTCTTTTTCTTTTCTGGGTGCCTTCTGCTATAATCGAAATGGCCAGGTTTCTTGGAAACAATAGTCTGTCCGGACCTCTTCCAAGCCAAAAGAGCAATCAACTTGAGACTATGTAAGTCCTCATTTCTTAAAGTAGTCATATAGAATGCACGGTGCATGTGTGTGTTTGTGTATAATTGTAAGCATTCTAATCCTATCTTACACAAGTTCTTAATAACTTTCATGCATTTTGTGCCTTCTGATTCTATTTTGTTATTTGCAGAGATTTGTCTTACAATTTTTTATCAGGAAGCTTTCCCCAGTGGGTGACCACAATATCGCAACTGTACGTGTCCTTTTATCTTTCACCTTCATTTTACAGTTTAAATCAACAGAATATGTTCGGACAAAAAATTATCGTTGAGATTCGTTTTCACAGTGCTACTTGCCTACTAATTTTTGATCTTGTACATGGAATTTTCATTTGATAAAGATATATTTCTTCATATGGTGATTGATTAATGATTTTATGCAGGAACTTAGTGGTCAACAACTTCACATTTGACAGTTCAAACATAACGTGAGTTGAAGTTTCTCTTACTTGTTTTTAGACAAGCAATACTATCACTACTCTTCCACTACATGTTTCTATTTGGATAACTAATAATTGTTCTGTGTTTGCAGTCTTCCTGGATTGGATTGCCTCCAGAGAAATTTTCCATGCAATCGAAATGCCCCACGATGTAATCTGCTTTTATGTCACCCAACATTTACTGTTTTAACTCAACGTCATGTTAGAGAAGGCATTGCTTCTCTAGTTATGTATACATATGGATATAGATTGCCAGCATGTTTTCATAAGTTCAGAAATAAGCATAACTGGTCAGAAATATGTGACTGAAAAACATTAGTATGAGTCTTCAATTTGAAGTTTCATCGCTAATCATGGGTAGATTCTGGTAATACATGAAACTTACAGATGCAAACTTCTCAATCATTTACTATTTTAACGCATCGTCATGTTAGAGGAAAAGGCATTGCTTCTCTAGTTATGTATACATATGGATATAGATTGCAAGCATGTTTTCATCAGTTCAGTAATACGCATAACTGGTTAGAAATATGTGACTGATGAACATTAGCATGAGTCTTCAATTTGACGTTTCATCGCTAATCATGGCTGGCTTCTGGTATTACATGAAACTTTACAGATGCAAACTTCTCAATCAACTGTGGTGGAAAACAAATGACGGGAAGTGATGGCATATTGTATGAGACTGAAGACTCAGCTCTTGGCGCAGCAACATTCAATGTAACTAGTACAGAGAAATGGGCTGTCAGCAATGCCGGTTTGTTTTCTGACAGAAAGGACCCGTCGTTTCTGGAAAATACCCTTGCACAAGTCACCGGAACGGATGTGACCCCGGAGCTTTTCCAGACTTCAAGAGTGTCCCCAGGATCACTGAGATACTATGGCCTGAGCCTTGAGAATGGGCCTTACACTGTAACATTGCACTTTGCAGAGACGGTTTATGAAAGTCGCACTTCGCAAAAATGGCAAAGTCTAGGACGGCGTGTATTTGATATCTATATTCAGGTAAGGCTGCTTATAGAATAAAAATTCTGACTTATTTGAAGTAAACACTCATTGGACAGGTTTTCTATGTTTTAAGCTACAATGATTTAAAGGAGACTAGAATTATCACCTACCTGTTCATTTGGTTGCTAGGGTACCCGCATGACGAAGGACTTGGACATATCGTCGGCGGCAGGTGGTGTTAACCGAGCAATTGTGAGAAAATTTAATGTTAACGTGTCAGAGAATTATCTTGAAATTCATCTGTTCTGGGCTGGTAAAGGGACTTGTTGCATACCCGAACAAGGTGATTACGGCCCGCTAATAGCAGCTGTCCATGCTGCTTCAGGTATAATATGTGTTACTTATAGAGATTTCCTATGATTGGTTTAAATGTATTTTTCTGCTATTAATTGACACTGAAGAATTCATCTGTTTTATTACTCAGATTTTACACCAACAGTTGCCGGGCTTCCACCAACTACTCCAGGAAAGAAGAGCAAGACTGGGTTGATAGTCGGTATTGCAGTTCCTATTGGAGTTGTGAGCTTGCTATTAATATTTGCAATTCTATATATGAGGAGGAAAAAATCAGAAAAAGAAGACGATGAAGGTAAACGACCATATCATTATTGGTACCCAATTCAGGTTTTGCTGCCCTAATATTAACACACAGAAGTAAGAATGCTTTCACGAAAGTAAAACTTATGTCAACTGTTTCATGAATGTGCAGATATTCTAGGATTAGGCCCCCGACCATATACTTTCAGTTATGCTGAATTGAGAACCGCAACTGAAGATTTTAATACTTCAAATAAGCTAGGAGAGGGAGGATATGGCCCTGTTTATAAGGTGAAATCCGTATTACATCAATATCATGTACTTGAAGTAATGACAAGAGAAAGGGAGAAAGAGCGAGCAAGCGAGAGGAAAATATAGCTCCTTTTTTCTTTCCTTTCATGTCACTAAATTGTGTTTATGTGTACATTGTAGGGTGCACTTTCTGATGGGAGAATAGTGGCTGTGAAGCAACTTTCAGTAGCATCTCACCAAGGAAAGAGTCAATTTGTATCTGAAATTGCTACCATATCTGCAGTGCAACATCGGAATCTAGTGAAATTGTATGGATGCTGCATCGAAGGCAGCCAGCGCATTTTGGTTTATGAGTATCTTGAAAACAAGAGCCTTGATCAGGCACTTTTTGGTACAAACCTATCTACTTTTAGGTTACATAGAAACAACATTTTCTGTAGTTTCAAGCACTCTAAAATTACTTAAAAATGTTTTTGATTAGATGTGTTCACAAATATTTCAGGGACAAGTAACTTGCACCTTGACTGGCCTACTCGATTCAATATATTGTTGGGAACAGCAAGAGGACTTGCTTACCTTCACGAGGAGTCAAGGCCAAGGATTGTACATCGAGATGTTAAGGCCAGTAATATTTTGCTCGATGCAGAACTCTCCCCAAAAATATCAGATTTTGGATTGGCAAAGCTTTATGATGACGAGAAAACCCACATCAGCACCCGGGTTGCAGGGACAATGTAAGCCATCCTTTATTGTTTTTCCATAGGTTACATATATTATAGCCACACACATTTATACTTGCATGAAATTTTAATACACATCATGTTAATAATGCTACTAATGATCTCAAGAAACATTGTGCAACCATATTATTATCTTGCATTGCAGAGGCTATTTGGCACCAGAATATGCAATGCGTGGACATTTGACAGAGAAGGCTGATGTGTTTGGTTTTGGAGTCGTTGCTTTGGAGATCCTCAGCGGGAGACCAAACTCTGACAATAACTTAGATCCAGAAAAGATTTATCTTCTTGAATGGGTAGGAATTGCATTCCCCTGCTTTATTTTGGCATTGTTGTGAAAAACTTATTCACCCTTTCCTTGGACAATGGCATAATGTTTTTCAGGCATGGACTCTACATGAAAACGACCAAATTCTGGGGCTGGTGGATTCAAGATTGACAGAGTTTGACGAAACTGAAGCGACTAGAGTGATAAGAGCAGCTCTCCTGTGCACGCAGGCATCACCGATGACGAGGCCATCTATGTCACGCATGGTGGCAATGCTCTCTGGAGATATTGACATAGGCACTGTCATGTCGAAGCCGAGCTATTTGACAGATTATGATTTTAAAGATGTAACGACATTGTCAACAGGTAGCTTTTTGATGGAGGATGATACCCCATCAACTGCATCCAAGTACAGTAATGTTCGTCTCAACTATCAGCCCGAAGGCAACAGTGCAAGTGGTGCTAACACCCCCGAGGTTGACCTTGCGCCTTCTCCTGTAAACGTCACTCAATCACTGCTCACTGGAATTATAGGAGAAGGAAGGTGATAAATAATGAGAAATAATTTCCACACGCTCCTTTTATCCCTTTGTGCACCCTGTACTTGGGTCTTTTCTGCCTTTAAGGTTTTGGCTATGATGATGTATATCTAAAATAAGATACGATTTTATAGATATTTGAGTCAAACTTAGATGTCAATTTTGTGTTAGTATGTTGTAGTGTAAATCTCCTCTTTTAATCAGGAGGAAAAAAATGGATGTTTCTTTTTTTATAGTTGGTGCTATTCACACTCTCATTTTAACTTCTCACACTTTTTTTTGGTAATTTTGTCTTTTGGTCTTTTTAAATTCATTCAATCCGACGGCTAGAAATTAAGAAGAGTGGGTGGAGGTAAAAATAGATGTGAATAGCACCACCATTTTCTATCTGATAGCCAAGTGTATAATAAAACATAAGCAACCTTGGTAGGTGCCTATAAACAAAAGCTACGAGTTGGCTCTTGATGAGTTATTGTCAATTGTTGATTGATTACGGTGTCTCCCTAATGTGACTCTTTGGTAGGGTTTTTGCATAAGCCAACTCTTTTAAATAAGGGATTGTTAATTGTTGATTGGTTAGTGTCATCTGAGGAGGATCTTTGGTAAAACTGCTATGTAAGTGTCATTTTTCTCACACGAGTGGTCTCAACGGTGGGGCCGGATAAAACCAAAATGCAGGGAAGTTCATGCTCACCAAAGCAGATCTCAGTTAAAAAATAACCTCGGATCAATCAAAGATTCCAAAGCAAGATCAAGCCGTCTAAGGCTATGGTGGTCGTCTACTTGTCTTTGTGCCCTTTTTCTTTTCATTGGGAAGCATATTCGTGCGTGAAACTGCCGGTGCCAGATCACTTGAGGCAACAAAGTCCAGGCCCCACATTTTATTCGTTTCTATTGTCCCCACGAAAAGTGACCGTTAGAATTTGAACGTTATAAGCCTACCGTTTTCTAGTCCCACATTTTTAATTCTTGTCACTCACTTTGCTCTTCTGGACAGAATCAGAAACCTCCAGATCATCATACTTCACTCTACAAAGTACCAATTACAAATAGACACACACACACATACACATACATAGCAGCATACACACACACACACACACATATATATATATATAATACTCCCTCCTAATCTCATCAGAACTCAAACAAAGAAGGAGAGCTTTGGAGAAGTGAAAGTAGTAGCAGAAACTAGAAGAAGAAAGGGAGACATGGGTATGGTGGTGGTGATCTCTCTGCCTTTTATTTTGTTCACCATACTTCTGGGTTTCGGGTGCTACTTCTTCGGGAGAGCGAGGGGGCGAAGGGATGCTATTGCCACGGCTCAGGTTTACGGGGCGCCTGCTCCTCCACCAGGAGCTAATAACACCCTCCCTTCATCTCCTCCACCGCATCCTTTCAAACACGACAACTCTGCCAATGTTTAAAACCAACAAATTATGTGTGGGTTTTGTTTTTGTTGTTTCATATTTATTTTGGTGTGAATTCTGAGCCATGTATATTTGTTGTAAACTTGAATCTTACTGAATGGTGGAAATACATTATTTGTTGTAAACTTGAATTCTAAGCATATTGGTGTGATGAATTTATTAGCAGGATCTTGGAATTGAAAACTTCTCAGAAAAAAAAAAATTGATAGTACTAGAAGCACAACAGAAAAATCAGTTCCACAACCAAAGTTATAAGTATTTGTTTGGAATCTGGAAGTTCCAAAAACTAAGCAACTCACTCAGCAACCAAACTAATTAGTCTGATGACTTAAATAGATGATTATATAGATAATTATAGCGTTTAACCGCTCAGTCCACCATTAAAAATATGGGAAACAATGGATAATAAAAAGACCTTCAGAAGCAAGAGATGACAATTAATCTGCAGGATAAAAAAAAACCTTGGAAGCAAGATAACAATGGAGGAGAGAGGATAACAAAAAATATGAAAGCTTAAGGCCTACCAGAGTTTGATAGGCTGGGGCAGATACAGCATTCACACCAGTGATAGTCTGGAGAGGAACTTTTACGACCCAAGAAATATATAGATGAACACATTCCCACCAGTGATTTGTGTGCGAGTCAGTCAGTCAGTTGACTACTGCCAGAGTTTGATAGGCTGGGGCAGATACAGCAGCTTCCATAACATGGTTGGGGCCGATGTCACCATCATTTTCGAAGAAGACCTCGAGCAGCTTGTACGAGAAGCCACTCAACAACGTCACCCCTGGTTCTGGTTCTCTACAATGCCCAGCCGAATACTCAGGTTTGATCATATTCCAAATGACTAGGTGTGGCACCACTTCTCCATACCCCTTCTCCTTATACTTGTTCCATATTTCCTTGTAATTAGTCTCCCCCCAGAAGCTGAAGTTGCTGCCTGTCAAGAAGTGTTTGTATGTGGTCAAGGCTAGCACCTTCTTGACCATCTTATCTGGCTTCAAATTCGCATTCACTGCCTCTTCTAGAATCACATCGAACACCTTCCCGAAATCAGCCGTCCAGTCCTGGCTTTTGATCAAAGTATGCATAAATTTGGCCCTCGAATTAAGATCCTCGCCTTGTATCGAATGCAGCCGGGGGTTTTTGCTGTAGGCGACCACCTTTCCTTTCCACGGCTCATCACTCAATTGAGGCAAAAAAAAGCCCTAAAGCCAAACCCGCCGACAAGGTGGTGTCGACATCACACACAGCCAACCAATTCTTCAGCTTCCCCTGCTTTGAGTAGACCTCCACTATTTTCTTCCACTTAACATCAGCCTCTTGCTCGAGCTCAGGATACTTGATATAGCTTAACATGTCATGCGGAATCGTCGGGATCAATCTCATCGGCAGCAGCCACTTGCTCTCGCTTGAACGCCGCTCTATAGCCCCTCCGGTTGGCAGGTTCCCAGCCCTTGGCGCCATAGTTTTTTCTCAAGGGCTGCAAAACCTCCTTCCTCAGTCGGTCAATACAACAAACACTACCATCCCGTTCTCAGCGCCATGATTCTGGCGGGAAAACCTTCCTTGCAATGTTTTCGAACAGCATATGATGATCAGCGGTGGTAGGCAAAGAGGTAGCCGCCTGGGTAATCTCCAAGCAGTAATCATCATGATGGTCATGGTCATGATCCTTGTGATGATGAAATTTTTCAATATCAGACTCGATGCACTGGGCGAAAATATCCGAAACACGGTCGTGCAAGAAGCGGCAATCAGCGTCGCGCTCGTATCTCTATGCCGCCTTGTTGGCCTTATTTTTTTATTTATTTTCTTCATTTGATCCGATTGCCAAACATAAAGTGTGAAAAGTAAAATTAAGTGTGATAATAACATCATTCTTGAAAGAGTAATACTAAGAAGACTAAAATTTCAAATTAAACGATGTGTCACCAATAAGAAATGAGTTTGTTTATCAAAATTTAAGTAATAATTTAATCATTAATTTCCATATCATTTAATTTACAAAATTTAGTCTACAAAGTATTACTCCTCTTGAAAAATCACTAGAAATGAGTCTTAATTACATTGACATCTATTAGTGTTATTTAACATTTTTTTCCCGAAAAACAAAAGATGTAACAATTTTTTGGTCACATGCATTGTGACATACTGACATGTAACATTTCCCCCCATTCTTAATCCGTTCCTTATTTACAAGGTGGAGTATGAAGATGGTAGAAAAAACTTAACTAGTGATATATATGTTTCAAATTTGTGAAAGAAAAATATTACGTTAAAAATTAATAGAAAACTTCGTTTTAATCCCTAAATAAGATTAATTTTTCAATAATACCGTATTGAAGATTAAAAACTAAAAATAGTCATTTGACTCGTGTCCAAGTCAAATTATACAATTCATGTCATGTTTAATTATTTTTCTACAAATTTATTATATTTATTTTTGGTTTTCCTGTATTGCCATTAGGCATAGATAAATGTTTAAACGTTTTGGAGCTAAAGGCTCCTCCAGTCTCTCTGCATTCGGTTACGATTCAGCTCTCCATCTCCAGACTCATTGAAGTATTTTTCCCTTTTTCTCTGTCGATGACGATGTTCACGCTTCCTTTCTATATTAATCTCGAAAATTAGTTTCCCTTTATTGGTTGGATTGTCTCATTATCAATTTATAGTAATCATCCTGATTTTCAGAATTTTCTTATATAAACTCTTGGGTCCAAAATCAAGGTGAAGCAGTTGTTGTGTTATTGACTGGTGATCCATGCATACTAGATTATTTTTCGTTCGGGTTTTCAGCACCAATTCCGACCAATCCATCCATTACGGGGTAAATTCTGTAAACTGTAAAATGTTTTTCTTTATTTGTGATTCAAAGTACCCATTACTTTTAAGAGGGAATATTTCTCTCAAATGTTTCAATTTAACTTTTTTTCAAATGGTTGAAGCATGGTTTTACATTTGATCAAATTTGTGCTTGGGTTTACGTGATCATTACACAATGCATATAATGTGTTTGATGAAATGCTCAAGTGAATTTTTTTTAAATGATCCCGCACATGCCAACGGTGGCATAGTTTTACTAATCTGTGCATTAGTGAGGGTTTTGATGGCACTTTGTACCAAATTTTATAGTATATCATAACATCATTTTTACTAAACTGTGCACAACCCCTTGCCTGTATGTCCCTGGTGCACCAAGTTCTGCAGTATAATTTTACTAGAGAAGGCATTGTGATAGGTGATGCATAATTATCTTGTGTGAACAAACTGTGTAACCATGCATTCATACATCTTGTTTGCTTTCAATTGTTTGTTTAGGAGATTTGACCATTTTGTCTCATTCTTAGGTGCACATGTTTGGTTCATTGTACTCACTTTCTTTGATGTTTTATTTATTTGTAGGAGAAATGGAATTGGCTATCATTGCCTCCTTCAGGTAGGCCAAAAATGGCAGCAATATATGCAGCTGTTATCACCAAACGCTTACCACCTATATCAAAGCAATTAAGATCCTTATTGTATGTCTCTAATATATCAATAACATCATAGTCGTTCTTCCGTGCATCAAATGTCACAATGCCTTCTCTTTATGTCCTAAACAAGCCCCAAAATGGTGTCCTCTCCATAAGTTCTAGGTGGATAGGTTTGATATGATTTTGAAATTTTTGGTAGGCTTCTGCAAAGGTCCCCATGTTAGACTTATATTGTAGGAATGAATATTCACTCCTCTTTCGTTCCGTAATTCTTGTAACTCATGGATTCATACAAGATGGAAACTCATCAGAGTTTACAAAATGATTGAAACGCATCAGGTATTACAACAAGATGGATTAAATAAGTCCTCAGGTGGATTGAAACATAATTAGTACAAACGGTACCAGCTTTTTCATACCGAATCTTTCGGACCTACACTATAAACGTAATTAATTGAAAGTGTGACCAAATTGATCGTACCGAATCAAACGGACCTAAACATCATAACATAAGTAATTGAATTCACAACCTAATTGACCGTACTGAATCAATTGGACCTAAACTACAAAACGCACCTAACTGACCATACCAAATTGATGGGACCTAAATGACCGTACCAAATCGACCGAACCTAAATGACTACAAAAATTACAAAAAAAAGATGGCACTTCACAGCCAGCAAAGACTTTAGGCCATATCCTCATTCCCTTCCCAACTAAGATGCACATACACTATTTTTCAATGAGCCTTCATCCCTCTGCTTCACATCCTATTCTACTCGCAGATTTGCAATGTTCCAATCTCATTTTTCTTTACGTTGTTCTCAAATGCATTTTTTTTTATTATTATTATTTTTTTATATAGATTTGGATTCAATTAAAAATGAGTCCAGAGATAAATGAAAAGAACAATTTTGTATGCAGGGAAAATGACCGTAACGAAACTATATAGTGTACCTAAGTGACCATATCGAATGAAGAGGACCGAATTGACCGTATCAAATGAAGAGGACCTAATTGACCGTACCGAATGAATAGAACCTAATTGACCGTACCTAATGGAGAGGACCTAATTGACTGTACATAATGGATAGAACCTAATTGACCGTACCTAAATGAAAAGAGAACCAACATGTACAAAACCTCCACATAGGCTTTTCAACAAACACAGGGTGTGCATTGCAAATGTAAATTCTTGCTAAAACCATGAATCTTTTCGGACCAATACATACAAACCATACCAACAAGCTATACAAGTATCAACTAGTGTGTTGGTTATGAGAGCTAAACACGTTCTCCTCACCATATAGCTTATGATTAAGACAAACCATACCAACTGCTGTGTTGATTAAGACAAAATATATATATATATATATATATATATATATACACACACACACAGTAGCTTAGAAGTGATTTGTGGGTTCCAACAATGGCAGCGAATCTAGGAAGCCGAAGAATTGTAGCTTCAAATGGGGATTTTTGTGGAGCATGGATTCAGACAGTAACAATACTATTTGTGAGAGTAGACATCCTGTTTGAAAATTTGAAAATTTTCATTGATTATAGGTGCAATTCAAGCCTACTTTAATGTCACTCTCTCTCTAATTGACTGTTACGTTTTTGAAACAACAAAATTGAGGTTACAATTCAAACAATTAAGATGGCAGGCAGGTAAATAGTGGTAAAATGTTTGGTATTATTATAGGTGACATGTCATAGTGCATTGAAATAAAGGATATTTTTTAGATACTAAAAACCTCTTAGGTTATATTCTAAAAATCATCTTTGATAAGTCATTATCTATAAAAACCCGAAGGACTCACTTTCAAACCAATCAATAAGTATATTATAAAATATGATTCAAATTAATAGTTTCTCTAACATTACTTTTTAGAATAGCTCACATCTAACACAATTCGAAACTTGCATATGCTCAACCTGTATACGATTGACGTGATTAAAACACACAAACATTATTCACCTAATATCATATCATTAAAAGAACATAGAAAAGAAATAAAAAGAGAATATTATACTAATATAATTTCATATCGCATATCATATTGAATTCGTTAAACAAGTGTGCTCCTCTTCCATTCCATGGAATGGGAAGGTCTCACAGAGACACAAAGACGATGACGTAAACATTTAGACTCTATTAGCTACGCTCCTATGATGATGATTAGGACTGAGGACTCAACCTAACCAACAATTATTTAATGAAAACTGAAATGAGAAGACACTATTGACTAAACTCGGACATGACTCGCTGGAAAGAAACATAGACTCACTGCAAAGTATTGTAGTTCCATATAACGCTGGCCACGCAGAGATCAAATCTTATGCACCCAAAATAGGTGTGGCCTCTCTGTGGCATCAATAAGTATTTGACACATATTAAATTCATGCCAACAAAATTAAGAAAAGTTAAGATATTGAATACGTGTCAGAGACTTATTGGGGCCACAGAGAGGCTACACCCATTTTGGGTGCAGAATATTTGGTTTCGGCCAGGCACGCCTTCATTCTTTACTTTTTAATCTTGATTTCAGCCACTGTCACCACTTCCAAACCATTTTTTGTTGCCAAGGTATCAATTTTGGAAAGTTTCCCCCTGTTGAACCATTTGCTCACCACCACAAATCTCCCATACCAAGGCCAATCCTTCCATTTGCCTTTCTGGATTTTCTTCTCCCTGAGCTCCTTGGGGGACATGAACAACTCCTTGTCTTCAGCTGGTTGGTATTCTTTTTGAAGCGGCGGTGGTCCTTTGGGGTGGTTAGGGGACATGAACAACTCATTGTCAATTTTGGAAAGGACCACCACCACTTCAAAAAGAATACCAGCCAGCTGAGGACAAGGAGTTTTTCATGTGCCCAAGGAAGAAAATCCGGGAAGGCAACTGGAAGGATTGGCCTTGGTATGGGAGATTTGTGGTGGTGAGCAAATGGATCAATGGGGGGAAACTTTCCAAAATTGATACCTTGGCAACAAAAAATGGTTTGGAAGTGGTGCCAGTGGCTGAATTCAAGATCATAAAGTAAAGAATGAAGGCGTGCGTGGCCGGCATTATATGGAACTACAATAATTTGCAGTGAGTCTGTGTTTCTGTCACATCCCACCAAAATTGATACCTTGGCAACAAAAAATGGTTTGGAAGTGGTGTCAGTGGCTAAAATCAAGATTAAAAGTAAAGAATAAAGGCATGCGTGGCCGGCGTTATACCATCATGAGATTGCTCTCGTCTGAACTCGCTTAACTTTAGAGTTCCGATGGAACCCGAAGCCAGTGAGCTCCCAAAATGCCTCGTGCTATATGGAGGTGGGCATGTACATATAAAACACATCACCCCCTCTGTTGATCGATGTGGGATGTTACAGCAAGTCATGTCCAGTTGAGTCAGTAGTGTCATCTCATTTCAGTTTTCAATAAATAATTGTTGGTTAGGTTGAGTCCTCAGTCCTAATCATCATCATCATCATACTAGCGTAGCTAATAGAGTCTAGAGGTTTATGTCGTCGTCTTTGTGTCTCAATCATACCCTTCCAATTCCATGGAATGGAGGAGCAGCACACTTGTTTAACGAATTCAATATGAATGTGATATGAAATTATATTAGTATATAATATTCTATTTTTATTTCTTTTCTATGTTCTTTTAATGATATGATATTAGGTGAATAATGTTTTCAATGTGATCGGAACATGATAGGTACATCACGTGTTATTATACCAATAAAGGGTTATGTGTTAAAAAATCAATAACTTAAAAAATAAAATTTCCTATCAATTTTATAAAAACCTACGTTATACTATCCGTATTCTCGTTATAATGAAAAAAAATTCCATGATGAGGGAGACAAGGAGTGTGGTCCCAACTCCCAGGTCGAAGGTGTTCAAAAGTAATATATTTTCTTGACTATAGGGATCTCAGGTACTGAATGTTTTGATTTATGTGCGAGCAAAAGTTGAGACGTGGATTTGGTCAAAAAGTTGAAATGGCATGGTGTATGTGATATATAATAGGGTAAACTAGAAAAAATGCCCGCGCGATGCTGCAGGGCTTGAATGCATCATCTTCAACTGCATTGTACAATTAACAGGATGAAACGAAACGTTTTGGTTCCCTAATATATAGAAGAAACAGAAGTAACATATAGTTCACAGAAAGAAAGAAAGCAATTGACAAAAAAAACATATAAAATGGCTAACAACATTCGACTAAGAATTAGGAACACTTGGTTAAAGCAAAATCACATATGACACCAATGCACCCTTGAACAATAATAGAATGGTTGAGACTAAGTTAAAACCAACAAAAACAAAGAAACCAATGAACTTGTGAAGTATCAAAAGATCATAGAGATAACGAAGAATGAAAACAAAGCAGGTAGCAAACGAATGATATAAGCTGATAAAACCAAACAATCAACTGAAACATGATAAATCTGCATTAACTCAACCAGAAAGCACGAGGAAACAATGTATGTTAGTTTAGGTGACATACCAAAGCCTTGATTCAAATGCAATAGGTGCGGATCCCTTGATGAAAGGCAACAAGAAGAGCAGATCACAACATTGTAATAAGACTTTGATCTAAACTACAACAAATCAGTGAGATTGAGAGTTAGAATTTGAAGCGCAAACAAATTGATACAGGAAAAGTAACTCAATTTGCAACAGTGCAATGGACTCTAACTGGGACAGTTCAATGGACTTAATGTGCGACAAATTTACATTTAACGAAAGAAAAGCTGCTAACAATGGGAATGCATCTTCTGTCACCATATTAATTTAAAGGCCTAAAGTGAGGATGATGTATCATAGTCGGTTTTGAATTAGTACAGGGGTTAGAGTGTGAGAACGTTGGTTTTAGAATCACATCGAACACCTTCCCGAAATCAGCCGTCCAGTCCTGGCTTTTGATCAAAGTCTGCATAAATTTGGCCCTCGAATTAAGATCCTTGCCTTGTATCGAATGCAGCCGGGGGTTTTTGTTGTAGGCGACCACCTTTCCTTTCCACGACTCATCACTCAATTGAGGCAAAAAAAGCCCTAAAGCCAAACCCGCCGACAAGGTGGTGTCGACATCACACACAGCCAACCAATTCTTCAGCTTCCCCTGCTTTGAGTAGACCTCCACTATTTTCTTCCACTTAACATCAGCCTCTTGCTCGAGCTCAGGATTGTCATGCGGAATCGTCGGGATCGATCTCATCGGCAGCAGCCACTTGCTCTCGCTTGAACGCCGCTCTATAGCCCCTCCGGTTGGCAGGTTCCCAACCCTTGGCGCCATAGTTTTTTCTCAAGGGCTGCAAAACCTCCTTCCTCAGTTGGTCAATAATACAGACACTACCATCCCCTTCTCAGCAACATGATTCTGGCAGGAAAACCTTCCTTGCAATGTTTTCGAACAGCATATGATGATCAGTGGTGGTAGGCAAAGAGGTAGCCGCTTGGGTAATCTCCAAGCAGTAAGCATCATGATGGTCATGGTCATGATCCTTGTGATGATGAATTTTTTCAATATCAGACTTGAGGCACTGGGCGAAAATATCCGAAACACAGTCGTGCAAGAAGCGGCAATCAGCGTCACGCTCGTGTCTCTAAGCCGCCTTGTTGGCCTTATTTTTTTATTTATTTTATTCATTTGATCCGATTGCCAAACATAAAGTGTGAAAAGTAAAATTAAGTGTGATAATAACATCATTCTTGAAAGAGAAATACTAAGAAGACTAAAATTTTAAACTAAATGATGTGTCACAAATAAGATGACACGCCCCGATCCCGATATCCTCGGGATATCAGGATGGTCACGTGCTGGCCGACACCCGAGGGTGACGAAAGCCATTTATTGAGTGCAATTGTTGAAAATCAAGGATAGATGAAACTTATAAATGTAAAAGAATAAGGAATATGCATTTAAAGAACGTGTTCAGAGCACACATTTAATCTAGAACATTAAAAGAATTAATGTAAAAATTGACTGAACATAGAAGTGGGTCCTACACCGAGAGGACTCGAAAATACCAATGCGGAAGTGCCTGGATGCCGGGATTGTACGCCTCGATTCTAAGTCCTGAAGGGGGCGCAAAACAAACATGGGTGGACCAAGTTGATATATATATATAATAAAACAGTTATCAACGTACAAACCCCCAGGTTTTATGAAAACACATATATAATGTTAAATATAGGTTTTCCGAAACCTAGCATGCCGTGCAATGTCTCAAATCATAACTCATATATAATAATCACTAGTGAATTGTCCGATAACCCCCAGGCCCCATGCCGGCTTCCTGTCTCTGAGTAGACATTTAGAGGAAAATACACTTCAGGCCCCATGCTGGCTCCCCGTCCTTGTGCTAAATAGCCAGAGGAAACACACTTCAGGCCCTATGCCAACACCAAACCGTCGCCCGGGACGGACCGTAATCTATCCCTACGTCCCGTAGCAGAAAGGACCACTAGGTAAGTACAAAACCATTGAACATAGGGTAAACTGTCGGTTTACCCCCTAAACTTTCACCTCACTTTCGATTTCCCCCCTGAACTTTTCTATTGGAAAATTAAGGACTCAAACTAATTTTTTTAGCCAATTTGCCCCCTACCGTTAGTTTTTCATATATTCCATCCATATTTCCGTTAAGTGAGACCATGTGCATAACATGTGAGGATAGTTAAGTCATTTCAATTTTAAAATGATTAAAAACTGAAAATAAATAATAATAATAATTTTCCCTCTATTTTTTCCCGCTAATTCCTATCCTCAATTTTAATTTTCCCTCTCATTCCTATGCATGAGAAATAACATATGGTGTTATTGTCTTCATAAGTAGCTAAGTTAATCTTTCTTTTGAAGCATGTACTACCATTTTTATTTTCTCTAACAAATTAATAATTTGACAAATGTTCATGGTGTTATTGTCTCTAAAGCAGTGCATTAATATAAGAAACATGTCCATAAAAAAGACTAGGGTTTCTTATATTAATGCACTGCTTTGGAGACAATAGCACCATTAGCATTTGTCAAATTATTAATTTGTTAAAGAAAATAAAAATGGTAGACAATAACACCATATGTCATTTCTCATGCATAGGAATGAGAGGGAAAAATAAAATCGAGGATAGGAATTAGCAGGAAAAAATAGAGGGAAGGTTTTGCTTTTTTTATTATTTTCAGTTTTTTAATCATTTTTAAGAGTGAAATAACTTAACTACCCTCACATGTTGTGCACATGGTCTCACTTAACGGAAATATGGATGGAATATATGAAAACTAACGGTAGGGGGCAAATTGGCTAAAAAAATTAGTTTGAGTCCTTAATTTTCCAATGGAAAAGTTCAGGGGGGAAATCGAAAGTGAGGTGAAAGTTCAGGGGGTAAACCGACAGTTTATTCTTGAACATATATATATTGAAAAACAACTTCATAGTATAAAGTCATCCATCATCTATACTATAAAGAGGTGTTCGAAACATGTTCTAAATATCATATTGTCATCCATCAGATATTCTATAAGAACACGGGTTATAGGAAAAATAGTAATAATTTAAGGTAGCCTCAGTAAGCATGTTATCTCATAAAACATAATCATCAAATCATGCTTTTCATGTATGCATTTCTACAATAAAACATGCATTTTAGAAGGGGTCCACTCACCGTACACCGATGGTGCAAAGCTATACCACGAGGAAATAACGGAATCACCGTTAATAATTGCACCTATTCACATAAGGAAATATCTTTAGTCAAACTTTATTCAAATGATTGAATTTGGGAAAACGGACTTCAGAAACGGATTTAGGACGTCGAAATTAGCCTAGGAAATGTCCTGGACGAAACCTCGAAAAGTCAACTCAAAAAGTCAACGTTAATCGTTGACCGGTCAAAGTCAAAGACCGTTAACCGAGTCAACGGTCAGAGGTCAAAGGTAGACTGGGCTTGGATTGGGTTGGGCCGAAAGGCCTTAAGGTTTTGGGTAAGGGTTAAAAGATTAATGGGTTTTAGGAAAGGGCTCAAGCCCCTTAACAGAAAATGGCCCAAAAGGCCCTAAATTCCTAAAACAGAAAATAAAATAAATAAAAACCTTAAAAGGTTTTTGGGTTTGGCTAATGGGCTTCAGCCCTAAACATAAACGGCCCGACGACCTTTTCCTATAACAGAAATTAACTAAAACAATTAAAAGAAAATTTGGGCTAGGACTTGGGCTGGCCTCACCACACGGGCCTAAGGCCCGCTTGTCCCTGAAACTGGCCTGGAAGGCCATGGCGTCAACGGAGCACCACCACCGGAGCTTCATAGCTCCGGCCGACTACCACACACACTCCTAGACCCCGATTTAGGTACCAAAACGAAGAGCAAGACGAAGGGAGTGTTTTTATACCTTCCTTTCGTCGTGGAACGGCCGGAGATGGCCGTAAATACCCCCGAGGTCGCCGGAGTTGGGTGTGCTTACACCCGGCTTCGATTTCGTCCTATAACCTCCAAAAATCACACAATAAACTCAATTAAAACTCAACCCACAATATTCTTGGACGAAATAAGGGAGATTTGAGGCTTACCTCACCGGGAAAATAGGAACTCGCCGGAGTTCCTTTCCGGGTTTTCTGGGGTTGCAGCACGGGACAGAGGGGGAGAAGGACGAGATGGCGACGATGAGGGGTCTTCCTCGCGCAAGGGAGATGGGTGCGTGCGTACGTTCGCGGTTGAGAAAAGAGATGCGGGAGCTGAGAGAGGTCCGAGAGAAGGGAGAGAGACATGACAGACAGAAAAAGAAGAAGAAGAAGAAGGAAGCGGGGGTTCACGGGGGGACAGAGAGAAAAGAAAGAGAAATTGTTTGGGGGCTGCCACGTGGCAGATTTAGAAAGAAAAGGGATCCAATGCTTTGGATCCTGATTTGGTAGATCAAAAAGGATGAAATTGATATATTTAAAACATTTTGGGGGTAATTACAACATATATTTTTATAATTAGGGGGCGGGTGTTACATAAGAAATGAGATTGTTTATCAAAATTTAAGTAATAATTTAATCATTAATTTCAATATCATTTAATTTACAAAATTTAGTCTACAAAGCATTACTCCTCTTGAAAAGTCACTAGAAATGAGTCTTAATTACATTGACATCTATTAGTGTTAGTTAACATTTTTTTTTTCCGAAAAACAAAAGATGTAACAATTTTTTGGTCACAAGCATTGTGACATACTGACATGTAACATTTCCCTCCATTCTTAATCCGTTCCTTATTTACAAGTTGGAGTATGAAGATGGTAGAAAAAACTTAACTAGTGATATATATGTTTCAAATTTGTGAAAGAAAAATATTACATTAAAAATTAATAGAAAACTTTGTTTTAATCCCTAAATAAGATTAACTTTTCAATAATACCGTATTGAAGATTAAAAACTAAAAATAATCGTTTGACTCGTGTCCACGTCAAATTATACAATTCATGTCATGTTTAATTATTTTTCTACAAATTTGTTATATTTATTTTTGGTTTTCCTGTATTGCCATTAGGTATAGATAAATGTTTAAACGTTTTGGAGCTAAAGGTTCCTCCGGTCTCTCTGCATTTGGTTACTATTTAGCTCTCCATCTCCAGACTCATTGAAGTTTTTCCCTTTTTCTCTGTCAACGACGATGTTCACGCTTCTTTTCTATATTAATCCCGAAAATCAATTTCCTTTTATGGTTGGATTGTCTCATTATCAATTTATAGTAATCATCCTGATTTTCAGAATTTTCTTATATAAACTCTTGGGTCCAAAATCAAGGTGAAGCAGTTGTTGTGTTATTGACTGGTGATCCGTGCATACTAGGTTATTTTTCGTTCGGGTTTTCAGCACCAATTCCGACCAATCCATCCATTACGGGGTAAATTCTGTAAACTGTAAAATGTTTTTCTTTATTTGTGATTCAAAGTACCCATTACTTTTAAGAGGGAATATTTCTCTCAAATGTTTCAATTTAACTTTTTTCAAATAGTTGAAGCATGGTTTACATTTGATCAAATTTGTGTTTGGGTTTACGTGATCATTACACAATGCATATAATGTGTTTGATGAAATGCTCAAGTGAATTCTTTTTAAATGATCCTGCACATGCCAACTTGGGGGCATAGTTTTACTAATCTGTGCATTAGTGGGAGTTTTGATGGCACTTTGTACCAAATTTTATAGTATATCATAACATCATTTTTACTAAACTGTGCACAACCCCTTGCCTGTATGTCCCAGGTGCACCAAGTTCTGTAGTATAATTTTACTACAGAAGGCATTGTGACAGGTGATGCATAATTATCTTGTGTGAACAAACTGTGTAACTATGCATTCGTACATCTTGTTTGCTTTCAATTGTTTGTTTGGGATATTTGACCATTTTGTCTCATTCTTAGGTGCACACGTTTAGTTCATTGTACTCACTTTCTTTGATGTTTTATTTGTTTGTAGGAGAAATGGAATTGGGTATCATTGCCTCCTTCAGGTAGTCCAAAAAATGGCAGCAATATCTGCAGCTGTTATCGCCATACAATTACCACCAATGTCAAAGCAATTAAGATCCTTATTGTACGTCTCTAGTATATCAATAACATCATAGTCGTTCTTCCATGCATCACTTGTCGCAATGCCTTCTCTGTATGTCCTGAATAAGCCCCCAAAATGGTGTCCTCTCCATAAGTTCTAGGTGGATAGGTTTGATATGATTTTGAAATTTTTGGTAGGCTTCTACAAAGGTCCCCATGTTAGACTTGTATCGTGGGAATGAATATTCACTCCTCTTTCGTTCCATAATTCCTGTAACCTGTGGATTCATATAAGATGGAAACTCATCAGGGTTTAAAAAATGATTGAAATGCATCATGTATTACAACAAGATGGTCCTCGGTGGATTGAAACATAATTAGTACAAATGGTACCAGCTTTTTCATACCTTGAATCTTTCAGACCTACACTATAAACGTAATTAATTGAAAGTGTGCCCAAATTGATCGTACCGAATCAAAATGACCTAAACATCATAACATAAGTAATTGAATTTACAACCTAATTGACCGTACCAAATCGATCGGACCTAAATGGCTGTACAAAAATTACCATAAAAAAAAAGATGGCACTTCACAGCCAGCAAAGACTTTAGGCCATATCCTCATTCCCTTCCCAACTAAGATGCACATACACTATTTTTCAATGAGCTTTCATCCTCTGCTTCACATCCTATTCTACTTGCAAATTTGCAATGTTCCAATCTCATTTTTCTTTACGCTTTTCTCAAATGCATTCATTTTTTTTTTAATTGATTTGGATTCAATGATTGAAAAATGAGTCCAGAGATAAATGAAAAGAACAATTTTGTAGGCAGTGAAAATGACCGTAACAAAACTATATAGTGTACTTTAGTGACCGTACCGAATGGAAATGACCTAATTGACCGTATCAAATAGAGGGGACCTAATTGACCATACCTAATAGAGAGGATTTAGTCAAACTCAAATTTGAGAAGATTTTAAAAAACTTTAAAATCTTAGTGTAGTCAACTAAAAGATTTTAAAGGATTTTAAATCCATGCAAATCTAGATGTATTCTATTGAGATTTTATTAGAGATTTTAAAATCCATCCAAATCTAAGTGTATTAAAAAAACATTTAGGGTCTGTTTGGTATTGGATTTGAGTCTAAAGTTTTTAACTCAAAAACAATTTTTAAGTTTTAAGGTAAAAGAATCTGTTTGGTAGGCCCATTTTGCAAAACTGGACTCCAAAAAATTAAAAACAGCCAATTATAATTTGAAAACAACAAAAGCCAGGTTTAGAGTTTTTGTTTTCACGAATTTCGCGACTCGCGATGGAGGTCTGAGACCTGCGCTGCACAGACCACGCCTTGCGCCTCACCAACGACGAACGACCAAGAGATTCCGGGCAATAGGGTGAAGGTTCCCGTGAATAGATTTAAGCCTCGAATCTCTGAGTGCTTGATTGGGGACAAAACTGGGCCATTCTCTTCACTGCAAGAAACGATCAAGGTAATGGGTCTGTCTCTTACTGTTTTGTTTGGTTCCTTGGAAAATGGAGGAAATGATGGGAAAGTTGATTTATGTGTTTTGTTTGTTGGGTTGTGAGAAATTGAGTATATCTATATAATTGGTATGATTCATTTGTGTACTGTGTGTATATATTAACCTAACTGAGCTCAATCGAGCTCATAGCTTGGTAATTAATCTGAAAACTCTTCTGTTTATGTTTTCTGATGTGCCCATGAGGATTGATTTGTGAACTGAATTTGTTGTGATGTGGGTTTTCTCCGATTTGGGATATTTCAGTCATACTGTCATTTTTGTGGACTGAATTTGTTGTCAAGTCTAACTGAGAACACTGTAAATTAATTTGCAAATATCAGTAACACTACGATTTACTTGAGCTCCTCTCTCCACCTTCCCTTCCTCCAGCTCCTTCTTCCAAAAGGAGCATAGGCAAAGCTATGCCTCTAGGAACTATCTAGTGTCTAATGTGAATTCTTTAACCAGTTCCCCACTGTAGTTCAATCCGTCGGGGATATGTATATGTACTGCTACTTGCAGATTTTTAAGTCATGTAAATACATTTTTTCACAATTTGTCAAACGCATTCTCCACATCATCTGTTAACTCTCAGTTCCCATGCATTGACAACTCTCGAATGCTAGAATAACGGAAACAGTATTGATTACTATCGGGTTCTTAATCTCATGACAGTACGGTTAGTGATTTCTCGTCGTGACCCTTCCCTCACAGATGGATGGTCATGAGTGACATCGCACAATCTTACTCATTGCCCCGACTGATATTACAATTTGGGATTTTTGTAACAACGAGTTGCAAAAGAAATATCCTTAATCCTCTGCTATCTACCTTTACCTTTCCCCTGAATTAGTAAGAGACATCAACTATCTAACTTATACAAACTTGCTGAGCTAACTCTTACTAGTAATGTGTTCTGAGAATCATACCTTCTGCTTTGTCTAATATAATCTTCAAAAATTCCCAACTAATTACATGTAAGCTAGTAACGATCAAGTTAAAGACATAGTTGAAGGAGTTAGAACTCTCCGGTAACGATCACAAATTTCATTCGATGAGTGCTCTGGAAATTTTGAGAGAAACTGTTAGAATTCTCCGGTACAATTTGTGGCGTTTTTTGGCGATTGCCTTGTTGCTAATCTGCCCGGTTTCCGCCCTGCTTTTGTCGAATTTGGTAGTTGATCAGTCACTTGTAAAGAGACTAACCATTAGGATGTTGTTAATTGCAAAGTCCAATGGACTCCCTTTGAGGGATTTTATCAGTCACTCTTGCTAGAAGTTTGCTGAGATGGCTATTTCATGTACGATGCGCTTTCCCTTGTACATCACATTGTTGTTGTCAAAAGTTGCAGTGGTTTACTCTGTGTATTGTAGTTATTCCCTCAAGAAGTTTGATGCATCACAGTATTACTTGGTTATGCGCAAGATATGGAGACGGGTTGTTTCAACTTATGTGTGGATGTGTATGGTGGTTGCTAGTTGCATCGTCTTGTTTTTTGTTCTTCTTCTTGCTGTGTGCAATGCATGTTCGATAGTAGGGTTGTCGCCAAATTATATTGTGTATGCTGCAATGGTGGTTGCGCTTGCCTTCTCTGTTGTTTTTGCCAATGCTGTTATTATTTGCAACATTGCTATTGTTATTAATGCTGAAAAGTAATATGATGTCCTTGCATTTCTTACCATGAAAATTACTTGGTTGGCTTATATTGATGACAACTAATTGAAACGTAGTCTGGTTGAGTGGTGCCTGAACTCTTCTTTAGGCCATTTTTACTTCTGTAAAAGAAACTGGAACACTGGAGTAATATGACAGTCATTTCTCATAGGAAAAGACTCAATGTGGCTTGATTACGTCAATAACAATTAGTCTCAAAGTTTATCGGTTTTCTAGAATGTTTTAATGTAATATTTATTATCTAAGACTTGAAGTTTAATTTGATTATCGAGCATATATGTGTTGTATTAGCACATGGATATCAAAATAGTATGTTTAAGGTTTAATTTCATATGTTTTGTATATCTTAAAACATATACATAATTGAAAAAAAAAAAAAAAAACTGCTTTCAAGAGTTAAACCAAACAAATTTTCAAATTTTTAGATTCAAAAATAGTTTTTAAGTTTAATGCCAAACAAGTTTTTGAAACCTAAAAAAAACTGTTTCTAAGAGATGATCTTGAAAATTAGTTTTAAGAACAATTCAAGTTTTTGAGTAGGATACCAAACAAGCCCTAAGATTTTGTAGGATTTCAATAATATTATGTTTGGATGAGGGAAATAAACTTGGAATTTTGATAAAAGTCAAAATTTATAAATTGACATGCATCAATTTCCTTGTTTAGATTCATAAACATAGAAATTTAGAATTTCCATGTGAAAAAAATAGGAATTTGGGACTTTCAATTCCCAAGTTCAAATTTCATGTAAATAGGTGTTATTTCCCAATTTTTAAGATTGAGAGTTTAAAAATAACAAATTCCGTATTCAATTCCATTATTCTTTTAGGTTAACCAAACAAGAAAATTTACAAATTCTAGAAAATAAAATCTCGTCATTTTAATTTCTGTTATTTTAAAATTCCTTAGTAATCTTAAATTTCTTCATCCAAATATAGTGTAAGTGGTAGATTTTGTAGGATTTAAGAGCAAGAAGTATATATAATCAAGATAAAAAAGAATCTGACCTCACTCCTTAGGATTTCAAATCTTAGGATTTCAATTCTCTGAGGATTTAAAGACGGCATATATATATAGCTTTACTATTATATGAACTAATTGTAGTGCGAAACGTCTAATAATAATGATATCATGGGTTCGGTGTTCCTCCAAATGTTGCCTGAATTGCTGATGAAACAGATTTTGACGAGGAGGCTTATGAGGATGATTTTTCAAAGGTTGCTGCAATTGCCGGCAAACTAGAACATCTGCTAAATAAAAAATCGAATGAACAAAAGGCTAGTCGTTGAGGAGGGTTGTTGGTGGCGTTGCAATGCTCAATTGAGAGAGTGTAAAAGGGGACACGAAATTGTGAGGGATAAAGTGGCTATCAAGTACAGTAGAGCAAGGAAAAAGATTTTTTTTTTAATAAAATAACTTATATGAAAATCCACTAAAATTCATCAAAATCCACAAACCAAATTAATTCAAATTCTTTAAAATCCATATGGATTTTGTAGGAGTCTTAAATCTTCCTAAATCCTATCAAATCCATCACTTTTAAAAATTCTTCTAAATCATATATTGACTACACCCCCTAATTAACCGTATCTAATAGAAATGACCTAATTAACCGTACCGAATAAATAGAACCTAATTGACCGTACCTAATAAAGAGGACCTAATTGACGTACGAATGAATATAACTTAATTGACTGTACCTAAATGAAAAGAGAACCAACATGCACAAAAACCTCCGCATAGGCCTTTCAACATAAATATAAATTATTTCTCTATACTAAACCTCAAACGCCCGAGTACTGTTCAAGGACAGTGGAGTGGCGAAAATACCCTCCGTTTGGTTTGCTTACAGCCGTGTTTGCCTTTCTTGAACAGTAAAAAGTCGGTTTTACCCTCCTTTGCCACATTTTTGTCGTCCCTGATTTCAGAGGGGGTATACCACAGCCTCTATCTCTTCTAGTCTTCTTTTCGTTTCTGTGTCGCAAACCTATTGTTTCTCTCATTCATACCTCTCCTTGCCTCGCTCTCTGATCTCGAGTTCTCTGTGTGTTTCCGTTTTTTTCCAGAAAATGATTAACTCAGTGAAGTTTGTTTAGATCGTTTTGTGGGGAGCTGCAGCTAAAACTGCTATCTCGCTGAAAAATAGTCGATTTCGTCTAGATTTGCAGAAAATTTGGAGCCCATAAGGGATCGCGCTTCCTGCTGCCGTTTTGGTGTGGGTAATTTTGTGCTTTGAATGTTATGTGCTCAGGATTGATTTCAAACTTCCAATTCAATTTTTTCAAAATTTTAATTTATTTTCAATTTATTTGTTCTTAGCAATCTATCCGTTAGGGTTGCGGAGACCGATACGAACGAAGGCTTTTTGTTATATTAAACTACAAAGATTCTGCATTTCCTTTTGTTTTAGTGAAATTTGAGAGAATGGGAGCGGATTATAGGGTGAGATTTTGGGTTTTGAAGTTGAGATTTCTGTTTTTTTTTTTTTTTTTGTTTGTTTTGGCAGCGGTTGAATCTGCGGGTACCGGATAAGGCACCTGCGAAAGGTGGTTCGAGCTTCAATCAGCTTCTGGGGTTTAAAGGACCTTCAAAGAAAACTGTATGTCGTTGTTCTTTATATGAGTTTTAGTGCCTTCTCTTTGTGTGTGTTGGCGTGTATGCATAAATTTGGTTTTCTTCGTATGACCCTTGAAGCTTTATTTTGTTGAACCGAACTCAGGAAAGAACTTCATTTTGTTTGTTGGTAACTTGGTAGTGGTTGGAAAATCTTTTACATGCATTTGTGTCTAAGAAGCAGATGAATGCTTAGCATTTAAATCCTGAAAAGAAAAAATAAAAAAATAAAGTAGTAGGTGTTTTTGCAATAGTTGGTACTTTACACAACGGCATTTTGTTCACTGCAATTATGGGATCTGATTAGTAAAGTGGATGGTCTGATTTTTGAGTTTTAGTTAATATGCTTTTTCTAAACACCCCCCCACATATACACACATGTCTATCAGTGACTAAAAATAGTAGCAAAGACAGATCAATTAGGAAAGATGATGATATTAACATGCAACCCTTGATTTTACATGACTTTAACTGAAAGAAGATCATATTCTTATAAGATGAGAAATCGTCTCACTTCAATTCGTCCTAACTGCCACCCAGCTCTTTAGGAAGATGTTTATTGTGGTGCCTAGCTACACTAATAATTGATAACCCAACAAAATTAAAGATGAAAACTGTTGGTACCTGTGGGCAAAGGGTTAATCCACCAGTCTCTTCCTAATTTGAACCAAACATGGTATTCACAGCATCCAAACTTGAAAGATCTAGCTTGCCTTTTTTTGTTGCGTTTTGGCGATTTTGTTTTTGGGTTCGGGTTCTGGGTGATGGTGGTTAATTTGGTTTTGTTTTTGGTTTCAGGAGATTCAGTTTTTCCGGTTTCTCACGTTTGTTTGCAGTGTGTGAAGGCCTCTGTATTTAAGGTGAGCAGTTTTGAAATTCTATGCTTTTGATTGGACTTGCAGCCTGAGATGTGATTTTAAAGCTGAAATTTCCAAGCTTTTTCATTAATCTTAAATCAGATTAGTTAATTATGATTAAATTAAATTTTTTTCTTTCTGTTATGTAGTTCAAATAGCTAAAGTTGAGAAAAAACGATTGGAGTTTAAAGTCTTGCATATTTGAAAGTTGAATGTGAGCCTTTGAAGGGCTTTGTAAATGTGTTCTCAGTTGTACGGCATTTCATGCAGCAGACCTTGATAGCAATTTTGGGTGAGTCTTCATCCCAGTGCATGTAACTTTGTTTTGATTTGTTCGTCTTCTTTTGCATTTTTTGTGAATTTTTTTGGAAACCCAACTAATTCGGAATTTAAATTTATGTTGATCTTCTTTTGTATTTGTGTGGAATTATTTGGAAGCCCAAATAATTCAGGATTCAAATTTATGTGTAAATTGATTAGTGTGGGTATGTCTAGGAAAGAAAGAGCACTAATCCAGTTTTGTGATCAGCTTGATTTAGCGGTTTCATTCACTGACGGGTATGGATAGTGTGTGAACAGAGATTAAGCTATGTGGTGGGCAGAAATGAAAGTATGTCTCCTTCGTGGTTGTCTTTTTTGGAATCCTATTGTTTCAATCAGTTGTGGTTTTTCAATTGTGATTAGTTGGATTTAGAGGTTTTGCTTCACCGAGGGGTATGGATAGTATCCGGACAGACATTAAGCTTTGTGGTAGGCAGAAATGAAAGTGTCTCCTTCGGGGTTCTCTTTTTTGGAACCCCGTTGTTTTAATATGTTATGGTTTTTCAATGTTGTTGTGTTTTGCCTTTGTTAATGCTTTGTTCTAAATTCAAAATTTTCTTTTTTTTTGTTTTATGTTTAAGCAATCTCCAGTTTAAATCTTTTATGGTAAGGTGAAAGAAAATGAAATGAGCTTTGTTTAGTTGATGCAAAAGTCAAAGTAAAAACTAAATTGTGATGTGATCATTTTGAGAGTGTTTGTTTTCCTGAGTTTTTTTTTTTCTTTTCCTTCTATGTTTTTCTTTTTTCCAACCCTTTGCGTCCACCTTTGATATGCAAGAGATGAGCCAAGTTTGTACGTTTTTGGAAAAAATAAATTGTTTTTATGTTGTATTACACTGGTTGATCTTTTGTAGCATACTTTTTCAGTTTTATTAGTTTTATTCTTACTCATATATTTCCTAAAATTTTGACTATGTGACTCTTAACTGTATATTTCAACTTATACTTTATTTACTCTTCTTTTGCAACATACTTTTTCACATATTTACTCTTCGGTATACAGACTGGGCAATTTGCGTATACAACACTGTGACCGATGATAGTTTATTATAAAGTATGGTGTTCTGACACTGTCTTCCAACCACTTTCGTAAATTTTTTGTTTCACCTAAGTATTAATTGGCTTTAGTCTTTCTTTTGTCTTAACTATCAATGCACACACTTACACCCAAATAAATATTTTTTGATACACTGTAAGGCCACTTTAACCTTTGAGTTATAGCTGCAGTGTTTCTTACCATTGCTTCATTATCAGCTAAAAACTTGACCATCTGTTATGTGTATGTGTTTGCTCTTTCATGTAAATATGATAAAAAAAAAAATTAGTGTTGAGCTGCGACATAGTTGTATTATAAGCATTTTCGTCATTCAAGGGAGTCAAGACTTGTGATTCTTTGCACTACAATTTAGTCATGTTAGGCTTTTATTAGCATTGAGCCAAAACGATTTGGTGATGTAGGTTTTGCAACTTATCATGTCAGACTAGTAATTTTTCCATTAATTTCTCATATTGATCCATGTTATACTATATTGAATGATAAAATGTTAACAGTAGTATTAAATTATCAGTAGTTTTAAACTAACATGATCTTACCCCATTTCGAAAGCAAATTAAAGAAATAATGATGGACATGCATGTTAAAAATATTATGAATTTAAAGAGGTGAAACCCAACTCACAACTGCTACCTATTTAGTTGAACACAATTTTCCTCTGCTTGGTTGATGAGAAAATGTTGGGAAACAAAGGAGCACAATTTGAGTGCTATTGTTTTGATGGATGCTTATTTTGACGAGCTTATTAAGTCTTGGATAATTTATGAATTTAAGATCTTCAATTTTAGTATTTAAAGAGTAATATGTGTTTTTTGTTTTTGTGCAGCGGTTAAAGAAGGGTGCGGGGAAACTTTAGAAAATATTAAGGAAGGTGAATTGATCATGGTATTTAAATTTTAACAATTCAATTTCTTAAAATTGGGTAAATGCTGGCATTTAATAGTATTTTGAAGATGGATTTTTGACTTTGAGTTTTGACTCTTTATTTTGCTTTTTTTTTTATTCAGTCTTTGGCAAGCCATAATACACGATAAACAAAATAAAGGGGTTTTAGTAAATATTGATTTTGTAAAATTCTTTATTTAAATTTCTAGGTTATGATGAATTCTCATTTAGAGTTGGTGACAACGAATTGACTCACCACCAACTTTAGATCAAGATTCAAGCATGCCTTAAATCCGTAAGTCATGTTTTCATTCTATTTTGTTGATTTTGTCATCACAATTTATTAGAAAGTTGGGATATCGGTTAATTTTAGACTTGGATTTTAACCTTTTATTTGTATTTTTGGAAAATTGCAGAAAGCTTGCATTAAGACAAACCTCACCAACCGCTGTGTTGATTAAGACAAAAGAAAATTATAAACAGTAGCTTAGAAGTTATTTGTGGGTTCGGACGAAGGCAGCGAATTGAGGAAGCCGAAGAATTGTAGCTTCAAACAGATTTTCGTGGAGCATGGGTCCAGACGGTAACAATACTGTTTGTCATAGTAGACAACCCGTTTGAAAATTTTCATTGATTACAGGTTCAATTCAAGCCTACTTTAACGTCGCTCTCTCTCTCATTACTTTTTAGAATAGCTCACATCTAACACAATTCGATACTTGCATATGCACAACACGTAGACGATTAATGTGATTAAAACACATAAAACATTATTCACCTAATATCATATCATTAAAAGAGAATAGAAAAGAAATAAAAAGAGAATATAGACTAACATAATTTCATATCACATTCATTTTGAGTTTGTTCAACAAGTGTTCTCCTCTTCCATTCCATGGATTGGAAATGTCTCACAAAGACACAAAGATGACGACATAAACCTCTAGACTCTATTAGCTACGCTCCTATGATGATGATGATTAGGATTGAGGACTCAACCTAACCAACAATTATTTAATGAAAATCAAAATGAGAAGACACTATTGACTCAACTCGGACATGACTCGCTGGAAAGAAACACAAACTCACTGCAAATTATTGTAGTTACATATAACGCCAGCCACTCACGCCTTCATTCTTTACTTTTTAATCTTGATTTCAGCCATTGGCACCACTTCCAAACCATTTTTTGTTGACAATGTATCAATTGTGGAAACTTTCCCCCATTGATCCATTTGCTTACCACCACAAATCTCTCATACCAAGGCCAATCCTTCCATTTGCCTTCCTGGATTTTCTTTTCCTTGAGCTCCTTGGGGGACATGAACAACTCCTTGTCTTCAGCTGGACATGAACAACCCTTGTGTTGATCGGTACTTCCACTACGCCAAGGGACAAGACGCCATGTCGATCGTGGAATTTCGCAAAACTCGAAGCAAGTGCTTCCCTCAGCCTGGTCGCACAATCCTCTAACCACCCTCAAACTTATCTGCAACTTAATAGACAGACGCAACGGCGGTGTTGTTCATGTCTAAAGGACCACCGTCGCTTCAAAAAGATTACCGGCCAGCTGAAGACCATGAGTTTTTCATGTCCCTAGGGAGCTCTGGTAGGAGAAAATCCGGAAGGTAAATGGAAGGATTGACCTTGGTATGGGAGATTTGTGGTGGTGAGCAAATGGATCAATGGGGGAAACTTTCCAAAATTGATACCTTGGCAACAAAAAATGGTTTGGAAGTGGTGAAAGTGGCTGAAATCCAGATTAAAAAGTAAAGAATGAAGGCGTGCGTGGCCGGCGTTATATGGAACTACAATAATTTGCAATGAGTCTGTTTGAGTCCGAGTTGTGTCAGTAGTGTCTTCTCATTTCAGTTTTCATTAAATAATTGTTGGTTAGGTTGAGTCCTCAATCGTAATCATCATCATAGTAGCGTAGCTAATAGTCTAAAGGTTTATGTCGTTGTCTGTGTGAGACCTTCCAATTCCATGGAAGAGGAGCACACTTGTTTAACGAATTCAATATGAATGCGATATGAAATTATATTAGTATATAATATTCTCTTTTCTATGTTCTTTTAATGATATGATATTAGATGAATAATGTTTTTTGATCGTAATCATCAACGCATTGAGCATGTGCAAGTTTCGAGTTGTGTTAGATGTGAGCTATTCTAAAAAGTAATGTTAGAGAAGCCATTAATTTAAATCATATTTTATAACTACTTATTTATTGGTCTGAAAGTGAGCCCTTCATTTAATTTAATGTAATATTTTTCTTTCACAAATTTGAAACATATATATATCACTAGTTAAGTTTTTTCTACCATCTTCATACTCCACCTTGTAAATAAGGAACGGATTAAGAATAGAGGGAAATGTTACATGTCATAATGCATGTGACTAAAAAATTGTTACATCTTTTGTTTTTCGGAAAAAAAATGTTACATATCATAACACTAATAGATGTCGATGTAATTAAGTCATAATGCATGTGACTAAAAAATTGTTACATCTTTTGTTTTTCGGAAAAAAAATGTTACATATCATAACACTAATAGATGTCGATGTAATTAAGGCTCATTTCTAGTGATTTTTCAAGGGGAAAATTAAATTTTGTAAACTAAATGTCATAGAAATTGATGATTGGATTATTACTTAAACGTTGATAAATATGTTTATTTTCTATTGGTGACACATCATTTAGTTTGCAAATTTAGTCTTCTTAGCATTACTCTTTCAAGAGTGGTGCTATCCACATACATAATTTAACTTTTCATGGTTTATATTCGACCATCAGATCAAACGACGAAAATCAATAAAAAAATACGTGAGACGTAAAATGAGTGTGAATAACACTACTCAATTTCCAATTCCACAATAAAAAATTTATTATTAAGGGATACCTCTGTGGGCCCGTTTTGCCAAAAGTGGAAAGAAAAACCTTTTAGGCCTTGTTTGGCAGCTTGAATTGTATTAACTAACACTACTCAATTTCCAATTCCACAATAAAAATTTTATTATTAAGGGATACATCCGTGGGCCCGTTTTGCCAAAAGTGGAAAGAAAAACCTTTTAGGCCTTGTTTGGCAGCTTGAATTGTATTAACTATTTCTATCAGATAGAATAAATAGTCATTGGATAGTATTGACTAAATTAGTCGAGTGTTTGATGCAGTATCGGACTAATGACTGTATTATTTATAGTGTGTTTGATATTATACTGGATAGGAGAAATTCAAAATATTAATATTTTAAAGATAAAAATTGATGATTAATGGGAAAAAATGTACACATTCACGACCATCAAATGGGTCAAATAAAAAAAAGAACAAAATCTTCCTTTATATAAATCAAACTTAAAAAAAAAAATTTAAAAATTGAAATCATCTCTTTTGTTCCTCATATCTCTTTGCCGCACCCCCCTAAACTCCCTCTCTTCTTCTTCCCCGACTATAGAAGAATTTCAAATAATTGTTCCTTAGATCTCTTCGTCACACCCCCCAAACTCCTTCCCTCTCTCTCCTTTCTTCTTCTTCCCTGACTGCAAAAGAATCCCAAATTGAAATCATCTCTCTGCCGCACCACGTTTCTTTGCAAGACCCAGTTGCAGGGGAGGACGGCGAGTAGGTGATGAGGAAGGCCACAAGGAGAGGACAACGAGGAAGGCAACGAGGACTAGGAGAGCAAAGATGGCGAGAGAAAGCGACGGCGACAAAAAGCAATGGCAAGAGAAGGCAACGAGGAGGACGACAATGGTGATAGAAGGTGACGGGGAGGACGACGACACCGAGAGAAGAAGAGAGAGAGAGGGCCGAGTTCGCCAGAGAGGAGGGCAAAACAGATTAATAATCCAAGCCTTTTGGTTGGTTTTATTAAGCAGACGTATACCATGTTAAATAAGCAGGCTGATTAATCGGCGCTTATTTAATATGAGTGAACGCCAAACACCCGAGTTCGTATAACTAGTCCTATCTGATCCTTTATCCGATCTGCCAAACAGGGCCTTAAGGTGGTGATTGGTGAGCAAACTGGAGTTTTCAACATGATGGGCAGAGATTTTTCAGTGTAACCGGAATACGGGGTTGTACACCACATGTTACTATACAATGATAGGTTATGTGTGTTAAAAACTTAAAAACTTAAAAAATAAAATTTCTCATTACTTCCATAAAAACACGTAATGTACCATCCTTATTTTCGTCACAATAAAAAAAAAAATTCCATGATGAGGGAAATGAGGAGTGTGGTCCCAACTGGTGTTCAAAAGTAATATATTTTCCTGACCATAGGGGATCTCAGGTATTGAATGTGTTGATTTATCTGCAAGCAAAAGTTGAGACGATGGATTTGATCAAAAAGTTGAAATGGCATGGTGTATGTTTGAGATATACTAAAACTCAAACCAAAAGCTACTGTTCATTAACAGTAGAGTGACGAAAATGCCCTTCAATATGTCTCTCTCGATATTGATTAACTACTTTCAACCTTTTGTCCATTTTCTCGATATATCTCTCTCGCAGAAGGTTGTTGCCGATAAAGGAACAAAAAGATACACCCCTTCAGTCGTCTCAATTACAACCCTCAGGACTTTTAGTTGGGTGAAAAGGGTTTTGATCGTAAGCCTTTCATCCGTCGAAGTACGGCCAGTTCTCACTATGTTTTTCATTGGCTGCAATCTTGGATAACAGTAAGCGTTTTTCGCTTGCAGATGAGGCCATTTTCTTGGTTCCAAAGAACAAACACACAAAGCTCTATAGCTGGAGGGGGAATGATAATATTATTACTGGAAGCCTGGAACGACTGTAGTGATTTTTTTTTTTTCAAGCAATGAAGTGTGAGGCAAAGGGTAAGGCAGCTGTGGAATTTATAGGCAGTGGAAGATTCGTGGCTGCCATTCAGTGATGATGTAGGTAAAAAGTTGATTTTCTATTTTTACTGCCTATAGCTACTGCTAATGCTTAAGCCAAGAAGTATGGGGCTGACATTTCAAGAAAAGGTATATAGAGCTTCTTTTTTACTGTAAATACCCTTTTGGAATTGATTCAATACAAGTGTAGCAATATAGAACCTTGTGTTGTTTTGCAGTTATCTATGAACAGCAGCAGGAGTTGTTACCGCAACACGAAACCTAGCTTTTGCCTATCCGCTGACATCTATCTGAAGGTTTGTGTACTGTCTTATGTGGAATTGGGATGGTATAACTTTGAATATTTATCATACATGATGATAGGGAATGTGATTTATCTAGAAAATATAAAATGATCGGTTGTAATTTTGGGTGTATGATTTGCTTCTGTTTTTTCGTTTCAGAACACGTTGCTCTTCGTTTTTTTGGAATTTTGTTTTTGTTGGAGAAAAAGCTCAAAGGAAAAAACCGAAATTATTTATCTTGAGCATAAAGGGCTTCGAAAGCGGCACACAAAAGCCCCTAAAAACGAAGACAAATAGATGGGAAGAATTAGAATTCATTTTGATTAAAGAAAGTGAAATTAACCTTGCTGTATTATACTTCTTGGTTGTTTTGATGAAGTTGGGAATAAAGGGCATAATAATTCGATTTGGTTTCCCTCTGTACATTCTGTGTTTCTAATGGAAATTTAGAACCTTTTCTTTTCTGTTTCTAAATTTTTATGCTTTATGGGTTTTTTAATGGCGGTTTTGAGGAAAAGCATAACAAAGAAGAGTACTACCGCAACGATGTGAGTGTCCTCTATCCTTAATATGGTCAAATGTAATATGGTCAAATGGGGGTGCAAATGAGATTGGGTTACGCTTTTGGGTTTAACACGCTCACTCTCTTTGCGTTTGGGTTCCATTTATGTTCTTTTTTTGTTCTCTATTTCAGTTTTCCTCTGGATGTAACCCATCTTTTTTATTTTGCTCAATCATCTTTAACTGTTATCGGTATATCATGAGGCCTAAAGCAAACTGAGAAATTGAAAAACTTTTGAATGCTCAAAGCTTGCCCGTCTGTCTAATGCGCTCATAAAAAAGTCTCATTGCCACGAGGGGAGTATATAAGACTGATGAGGGTCAAATATCCATATATAAAACTATAAAAGGAGTGTGTATCCAATTATTTGGAATCTTAAGAAAGAACAATAATTTACTATTATGAAAGGTTTTAACAGTTAGTTTTGAGCCGTGATCCTGATTGGTAGTTTTAAACAAGCAACATATTCTCTTTATCAGAACAATGATTGAGATAATATTGTTTAAATCATTATCTCCTTATCACTAAATATTTTAGTGCAATACCAATAATTTCACTGCTAATGAGAACCTTACCTGGGATTTTCTTTTGTGTTGTCACTTTTGATTTTACTGATTGATGTATTTCTTGAAAGCGGTGATGTAATCATAAGCAAAGGTCGAGTTCTTTAGTTCATTGCAAGTCGACCCATTGCCAGGTATCTCTCTCTCTCTCTCTCTCTCTCTCAAGATATTACCAATTAGGTGTATTTATACTCTTATTGGATGTGAATTTTAATTAATGATGTAACTACATGATAACCTATGCATCGTTTGGAGTTTAAATATAACACTTAAATAGTGGGCAAATGTAAATGTGAAAGTGATAAACTATAACCTCATCCTTCATTTATTTTAGAGATCACTCAAGTTGTGAAGAAATGTAACTGCTATTTTATGAAGATTATTAGCACTTCATGTACAATTGTATTGCATAATTTTTGTGAAGAATCTATTTATCAGCAGAATGTGCTTTAAAGAAAAACAGTTTGTAAAGTAGGAGAAACAACCTGGTGCCACTGTGTAAGATTCTAGGGACTGCTGAATTGGAATACTCAGAGAAACGATATGCATAGGGATCACTAATAATGTTTTTTTTTGTGTGTGTATGTGTCTCATATGTTGAAGGCACCCTAATATTAGCAGTCAGAATGGAGCAATTTGTCTGGATATTTTTTAAAGACCAATTGAACCCAACTCTGACATTTAACTGCAGAGATTCCAAGGATTCTAAGGATTCCAAGAGCTTTATTCACCCAATTTCACCTCTTCATGTAAAAATTCTTTCAAAAAACTCAAAACATCTTTCAGAGTAAATAACATTAACCTTCTTTAACAATCTCTCATAGCTTTGAAACATTTTGTTTTTTTATATGGTTACTAACCCCGCAGCAACGCGTGGGCCATATTTCTAGTAATATCTGTAACTCAAACAAAAACTCTCACCCTCCCGTACTCCGTCCTCAAACGTTGACTATTCATTACGTCATTTTGAGAGCTGGTGACATGTTTTCTCGACGTTCATCGCCCCTCGCTTTCTCGCCCTCGAATCTTACTCATTCAAGCTGAGCCATGTCATCAGTGATTGACTAATGTTATGTGTTCATCACCATGAGAGGGGAAACCACAGGAGCATGTTGAATGCTTCCTTTCAATCAATATACCAAATTACAAAACAAAATTCTGACAGGAAGATTAATAACAATTAATGTGTAAATAAAACAAGTTTTACCTGTCCAATTAGTAATTTTAACAAGTCTCTAACAAGTTATTTGTTAGTAACTTGACATGATTAATTCTAATATTGACCCTTTCACATCCTAATTTATTTTCATTTTTATTTGACTTGACATTTATAAGTACTGGGAAAAAAAACAAAAGATGAGATTTTAGAAATATTACGAATCCAACACGATTAATTTGTTCTAAAATGAAAAATATGAAAGCTTAAGGCCTACCGATGGTCTGGAGAGGAACTTTTACGACCCAAGAAATATATAGATGAACACATTCACACGAGTGATTTGTGTGCGAGTCAGTCAGTCGACTACTGCCAGAGTTTGATAGGCTGGGGCAGATACAGCAGCTTCCATGACATGGTTGGGGCCGATGTCACCATCATTTTCGAAGAAGGACTCGAGCAGCTTGTACGAGAAGCCACTCAACAACGTCACCCCTGGTTCTGGTTCTCTACAATGCCCAGCCGAATACTCAGGTTTGATCATATTCCAAAAGACTAGGTGTGGCACCACTTCTCCATACCCCTTCTCCTTATACTTGTTCCGTATTTCCTCGTAATTAGTCTCCCCCCAGAAGCTGAAGTTGCTGCCTGTCAAGAAATGTTTGTATGTGGTCAAGGCAAGCACCTTCTTGACCATCTTATCTGGCTTCAAATTCCGTTCACTGCCTCTTCTAGAATCACATCGAACAACTTCCCGAAATCAGCCGTCCAGTCCTGGCTTTTGATCAAAGTCTGTATAAATTTGGCCCTCGAATTAAGATCCTTGCCTTGCATTGAATGCAGCCGAGGGTTTTTGCTGTGAGTGACCACCTTTCCTTTCCACGGCTCGTCACTCAATTGAGGCAACAAAAGCCCTAAAGCCAAACCCGCCGACAAGGTGTTGTCGACATCACACACAGCCAATCAATTCTTCAGCTTCCCCTGCTTTGAGTAGACCTCCACCATTTTCTTCCACTTAACATCAGCCTCTTGCTCGAGCTCGGGATACTTGATGTAGCTTAATATGTCATGCGGAAGCAGCACAGCATCGTCGGGATCAATCTCATTGGCAGCAACCACTTGCTCTTTGATAGGGAATTTACTACACGCAAACGTGCTAAAAACTCCTATAATACTTGCAAGAATGACAAGGATATTGTAGTATAAACAGATCTCACAAGGTCGTTCTCCACAAGAATTATTAAATAATTCAAAACAAATTCAAATTCCAATTAATTATTATAAAGCAGAAAGTTGAGATGATTGATTTTTTAACCTACTTAAATTAAAACGAATTTAATTAATAAAAATAAAACAATCTGCAAGATTAAAGCTAAGAGAAAGAAAACAGTTTTGGAGAAATCAAATTAAGAAAGCACTAGGGATCCGCCGTCGCCTTACCAATCCTATATAGTTCTTCCAATTACTTATGACTTATACATGCATATTTTGAAAGTTAAGTTTTCCTAATATATGCCTACTTGGACCCCCAACATAAAGCGTATATCAAACATGCAATCCGTCTGTGGTATTCAGATCAAATCTAAACATGCATGACTCATTAAGTTCTGTGAAACCTTTTGAAAAACCATATAACCCTCAAGACGTGATATTCATCCTAAGTGAACTTGCACATATTAATCACAAGAAGCCTTCGTCAATTTCAGGGATCGACCTCCAACCAAAATTGCATCAAATTACTTTTCTAAACATCCTAATGGTGATCAAACATCAAGATAATTAGATAGTTTCAAACACGGTGATTAATAACTCGAAAACCTGCATGCATATAATCATAAGCAAATTGAAGAGAAACTACATATTCTTGCTAAGGCTCGTGGCCTCACCCTAGCAAAAGGAATTAGTTATGCATACTCATAATAAAAATCATAAAGTTCTTCATTAAAATAATAAAAGATCGAAAACACCTAGAATGGAAAAAGTCTGAAAATCTCTACGCTTGGCCAATTTCCTCTTTTCAAGAACGCAGGGAGAAGAAGAAGTTCCAAGTATGTAGCCGGCTAAGCTTATTTAACCTAGTTAAATCCTCCTAATAAAAGGTCTTCCAATCCAACTAGGAAACTAAATAACTAAAATAAAATAAGAAACATAAACCTAAATTAAATGGTAAAATTCGCCCAAAATCTGAACAACCACGTTTTGAACCCTTAAGCTGCTCCAAAGCTGGCCCAATTTAGCTGAATTTAAGATTTGGAATATTCTGAATACTATTCCAGAAGGCCACGAACCCATCAGAAGTCGTTTTGGGCTCCAAAAACGCAATTTAAGCCCAGAAACGTCATTTTCCAGCATTGCGCACTGTTTCTTCATTCTGTTACCAGAAAATAAGCGCTTGGTAGAAAAATCCCAAATTTTGACACGAGCACGCCAAGAGACACACGAACGTCCTCCAATTTGAATCACTCCAAAATTCGTTCATTTGATCACATTTTGCTCCAGAGGAAGTCGAATGTCCTATATTGAAAATATAAATCAAAGTATCAAAATTCTATCAAAATAATCACCAAATCATACTAAAAATAAGGTAAAATATATAATATGAAATTGACTCATCACTCTTGGCCACTCTATAACCCCATCGGTTGGCAGGTTCCCAGCCCCTTGGCGCCATAGTTTTTATCAAGGGCGACAAAACCTCCTTCCTCAGTCGGTCAATACAACGAACACTACCATCCCCTTCTCGGCGGCATGATTCTGGCGGGAAAACCTTCCTTGCAACATGTTTTCGAACAGCATATGATGATCAGCGGTGGTAGGGAAAGAGGTAGCCGCTTGGGTAATCTCCAAGCAGTAATCATCATGATGGTCATGGTCATGATCCTTGTGATGATGAAATTTTTCAATATCAGACTTGAGGCACTGGGCGAAAATATCCAAAACACAGTCGTGCAAGAAGCGGTAATCAGCGTCACGCTCGTATCTCTGAGCCGCCTTATTGGCCGTGTGGATCGCCTTCCTCCTCAACAAGTGTTGTAAAATTAAATACCAAATTTCCATATTGCTTTGTGGTCCAGTTAGCTAGTGTTCTAAACTTGTAAACTTACTCGGATTTGGCCGGAACATGGACATTCAACTTGGCAAATGCATGATGCATGCCATGCTTGATTTCAGACAAGGCCCCTGCTATATATGCTACCACGGTTTCAGGAGTAGCAACGTTTACATCATCATTCTTGCGTTATATATTAACTGTAAAACAATGCAATGCTAAACACAAATTATGTACACGACAACGTTTTGGCTTCAAACTTGGGACGCAAATTAGTAACTGGTAATTTATTTATGTGTGTCGACTGTCGGCGACGTTTCAATTAGAGTGGAAGCTGGAGTAGAAAGTTAAGTTTCAAATCACCCTGCAGAAATTGATATTTGGCTGAAGGAGTTGGGCTGGATTGGCAAGTGGGAGTGAAGAAACTGCAGTTACAGTTATATGCATACAAGTACGTAGTCCGGTCTTCCTTCGTTTCTACCTTTGGGCTCTATCAAAGAATTGCACGAAGGCCGAAAGCCCAATCGCCGCCTTCCTTTTCTTTTCTTTCTTTTGAGAAGAAATAATAGCGTCTAATATCCTTCTTCTCGTGAAAGATCATAAAAACAAAACCACGTGTCGTTCATCCTAGAATATAATATGATAGAAAATTTGATATGAAATTTAATCATTAATGTTGCATCCTAAAAGTATTGATAAGATTGATTTTTAAATATTTCTTAATGGTCGTTTGCTAACTGTTAACGCTCAAAATTAAAAAGGCTAACAAAGATTGAATGGATCAAAGTGTTGGTCCTTAATGGACTTAGGTTTTGCAACTAAATAGGATGTAACGATGCACACAATGAAATATCCTGAAGGCAAACTAAATGTTGATCAATTATCTCTCATCATCTCATGTTACTTCAATTTTTTAAGACAGAAGATATCATGATATCAAATATGAAACTTAACCAGTAATGTTTCATCTTATATATAGCTTCATGCATGGATACATCATACATGCACTGTTTTGTTCTTACTTAATCAGTAATTTTTCAATACTTCGATAACCCTTTTGTTTTTACTATTAAAAATGAAAATAAGAAAACGAAATAGTTATCAAACGATCCCTAACTAAAAATTTCACATAGTGTATCTTATATATAGCTTCATGCATGGATATATGCACTGTTTTGTGCAAATGATCATTTATAAATTAAATAGATAATAAACAAAAAATTTCCATTTAATTTGTTGGTCTCGGGCACGACCATGTTCTCCGTTTCTCTGCTATATAGGTACCTGCACAATTACAAGCAGCAGTTACCATTGTACGTTGACCTTCTCACTAAGAAAAAAGAGAGCACTGCTTGCTTTGCCGGTTGATTTCCATTAACCCTTACTTACACCCTTGATAGGGACCCGGTCGGCCCATTTTGAGATTATTACATGATCATAACATATATATACATTTGTTAATCTTAAAAATTACCAAGCTTATTTGGCACGTGAGTCCAACAATTAATAAGCTAATTACGTTATTCGGTGAATGCAGGCGTGTCGATCGCGACCGAGCTCGGCCAGCGAGTAAAATTGATGTGGTGGTGGTGTTGAATGCGGTGTTGACTTCTGTATCCGAGTGATCACGACAAATGAAGTAACTCGTCTCGGACTTGGGTTCTAGAGCCTAAAGACAAGGCTGTTAATCAATGCGAAGTTCAGAATCTTCTGCACCAAGTTCGGATGCATCAACTATATTTGTGAAAATATAAGTGCGCCAAATTGATGTCAAACTATAAGACACATACTGTAAATGTTGTTCGACCGTTAGAATGCCAAACTCTGAAATGCACTTGGAAATATCTAATCATATAAAGGTTTGGCTTTCAATGTGCCGAACACTAAGTATTTTTTTTTTTTTTTTTTTTTGAAAGGAAACACTAAGTAATTTGGTAACACCTTACTTCGCAGATAAGCTAGTGAGATGACCTATTTCGGTAAGAAATCCAAAGGTTACTTGTTGACAAAGACTTGGATAGGTAACCAAATTTGAAGCAGTATTATTACTCCAAATTGGACGTGCTCATCAGCCGTCTGATTCTACTGCTCCCGTGCTATTAATCTAAACTGAAAATTTCGCCGGTTGTCAACACAGTGTTGTTAATCCAAACTGAAGATATGTTGACAAAGTTAGGAGAGTTAGTGAGGCTCGTGTAGAGCGAGAGTTTGCGTAGGACGTTTGTGTTGAGTTTTAGGTCATTTGCATGTCGTATAACTGCTTATATTTATAAGATGAATTCCATGCAGATCACTCTCTCGAAACAGAGTCCTACTTGGACTTTAACTCCTCGGGCTCACCTACTCCAATCTCTTATCAGATAAGCCTAATCCACGTTCATCCTTTGGCCACTTATATTAGAACTAGGACTATGAAGCCAATCTTCTTTTAGCATTTGATTCATTCCTAATCTGATCAGCCATGAGCCTTGATTCTTAGAATATTTCAAATTTTATCAAAACTCATCTTGATCCTTAACGATTTTAATTTCACTAGGACTCGACCGAATCCGTCTTGGGCAAGATATCTGAATGCCACTTGGCTTGAAGGTATGCCACTGGGCCTAGAATTAAGCCTTATTACAAATTATCCACCTTCGACCCAAACCCAATATTTTAAAGCCCAAACAACATGTTTGTGATCATTACAAAAAAAAAAATCTCATGAAGCACAAACGAGCTAGTAAAGGAAATTATATGAATGACACACTTTATATTCCTACTTGGATGTTGGATTAGTGCCACTGATAATCATGTTAATCGTCTATGCATTAGGTTTTATATTCGTGCAGAATTCAAATCGTGTTAACTTTGTCGCGTTAGGTTACGTATAATTTGTTATTTAAAAACGTAAATTAAACAAATATCTTTACTAATAATTAAACAAATTACTCTCTTCTAAAACCCGGTGGTTGACTACTGTTCACTAACAATGCGTCGCCGGTTTTGTCCCTCATTTTATTCATGGTTTTTGGGTTTTAGTGGGATTGTACAGTGAATTGGCTATTCTGTCCTTGGTCATGTGTGGTGTCTTCCACTTTTTTTTTTCCTCTTCTATTTTCCACTTTTTCTCTTCCTCTTCTATTTTCTCTCTGCCGTTCCGTTTCTCTCAGTTTTCCCGTCTGTCTTTTGATTTCGATTTCGATCGGATCTTCTCGAAGGTGTTTGGCGTTTTTTTCCCCTGTTTTGCGCGAACAAATCGCTTCCATTTAGGTATGTTGATTCATGTGTTGGTTTATTTTCTGTTTGGTTAGGAAGAAAATTTTATGATTGATTGTTGTGAATTTGGGCTATTCAGCTTTTTTGCCCAGCATTTTCTTTGTTTTTTCGCGTTCTCCGTCTGGTTGTTATCTCTGATTTTGCATTTTGGATGCAGGAAACATTCTTCTTCCAGTTTTAGGGTTGTATTCTGTCAGTTTCCAAGCTTTTTCTCCGTCAGGTATATAATTTATCTCTTTTTTTTATAACATATAATTTATCTCTTTGGTGTTATTTTTTTATGTTTGTACTTCGATTTTTTCCTCAAACTTAAAAAAAAAAAAAGAAAAAAAAAAGAAGGAATACTGATGATTAATTTTTGGGTTTTGCTTTGCATGTTTCGGTTTTTTTTACTGTGGGTGAGGAATTTTTTATTTTGGTGTTTTAATTAAATTGCTAAACATTTCTCAGCAATACAAATGGATGATCATGATTAATTTTTGAGTTTAATTTAGCTGTTTCGGTTTTTACTGTTGGTGTTTTATTATTTTTTTGGCCAAATTTTTATATTTGGGTCGTTTCTGGTTCAATTTTTTTGCGCAAAAATTCTAAAAAGGAGAAGTGCTAATGGTTAATTTTTGGTGTTTTCTTTGTTTGTTTGTTAGTTTTTTTTATTTAGGTCCTTTTTCGTTTGTTTCTCTAATTTCGTTATTTTGTTGCAGGAAATATTCGGCTTCCAATTTTAGGGTTTTATTGCACGATCTTGCAAACCTTTTCCGGATTAGGTATATAATTTATGTTTTTGTTGTTATTTTTTTTATTTCGGAAAGTTTTTAGATTAGGGTTTAACACTGGTTCAATATTTTGCATGAAAATTCAAAAAGGAGAAATGTTGATGGTTAATTTTTCTCCGATACTTGATTTTCTTTGTTTGTTTCTACTGATCTTTTGTTTCTTGGGCTGATTGCAATTCTTTTTCGTTATTTTTGGTGCAGATATCAAGAGGATTTGTGAAGTCCCTATTATGGGTGGGCATAAAAACCTCAAACCGTAAAACCGCATCGAACCATATAAAAAAAAAAAAACAGAAAAGAACCGTATGAAAAAAAAAACAGAAAAGAATCGAGTTGACCGGAAAAGTGAACTTTGAATCAAAAACTGAACTAAACCGTTCAAATCGATTATGGTTCTGGTTTCGAATGAACAAGAACCAACCGAACCGTTTTATTAATAATAAATAAATAAATTATATACATACACACATGTCATGGTATAAATAAGTAGGTTAAAAAAATAGTTTCATCAAATTGCAAAGTAGTGGATCATCCCAATTAGGGCTCACTCACCTCACCCTCACCTCACTCACGGCCTCACATTCCCATTCCTCCATTTCACACAGCCGACCCCTCTTCCTTGTCGACATTCTCCGTTGATTTATTCGTTAATGGAGAGAGAGAGAGAGAGAGAGAGAGAGAGAGAGAGATTCTTGTAACAAAAAAACCCATTTATCCATTTCATTAGCCGCTCCTTTTGCAATCAAACCAAAAACACTTCTCCAAGGAAGGGGAAGCTGCTTTCTGCTGATTTCAACTCTCAGTTACTGTCTCTTCAGAGGTAAAAATTTTCTCTCTCTCTCTCTCTCTCTCTCTCTCTAAAATCCACTGTATTTCTTTGGCTCTTTTTTCTTGGTGAGAATTGGAGTTTACGAGTTGGGTTGATATCTCTCACTTAATGGTTGGATTGTTTCAGGTTTTTGATACCTAAATTAAGCTTTGGTTCGCCCACAACTCAAACTCCCGCAGCGCAGACTTGTTGTGGACTCGGTTTCCAGAGGTAAAACTCCATTTTCTTCTCCACCTGTTTCAAGATATCTTAGGAGCAACCTCTAATTTTTGTTATAATTGTTAATCAGATCTGTTGTACTCTCTAATCCCAATAAAATAAATGAAGTTAGTATTTGTTCATGTGCGAGATGTGGAATTGTTTTGGGATTATAAGAATTGATAGGTTTTTAAGTGTTGGGTTGTTTTGTTTCAGATTATTTTGGAGTATCTCTCTCTTTAAACTTGCATATAAATAATTTAGTAATTAATTTTACTAATTTGTTTCTTTGATGGATCTAATGCTTGTAATTTGTAATTCAAAAACACTTGAATGGTCACTGGTGTTGGATTTGTTGCTATTTTGTTTAGTGATTTGTATCTTGTTATGCAATTTTTTGACCCGGGTATCTGAGATATTTTTTGTGTGGGTTATTTGATGACAGTCAGGTCATTTGGAGGCTCCCTGTACTGAGTTGTGTGACTTCTCAACTGATCTTTCTTCATTTGCTATGTGAGTGTTATTCTTTTGTTTTATTGTTAGAATCTGCACTAAGTTTTGTATTCGGGTTTTACATGGCTTTGCTTATGTGGATTTCAAATTGATGTTGCTTGTGGATCAGTTTGTGGATCAATTTCAATATGTATGTGAATGATAAACTCTGTGTTGAATTTGGGTTTTGTTTTTTGTCTAGTTTAGGGATGACGGACCAAACCCTTGAATGCATGATGATTTGGTGTTCAAATAATTTGGTATTCGGAACCGTAAACCGGTAAGAATCGAATCGGAATTGGTTTAGACAGAACCGTACGGTTCTAGTAATAAATTTAAGCGAAACTGTATCGAACCGAACCGTTGATATTTTAAGGTTCCGGGTCTGGTTTAGGGGTGGAACCGCATTGAACCGCATTGAACCGCACCGTGCCCACCCCTAGTCACTGTGATTTAATGGTAAGTTTCCTTGAACAGATTTGACAATTTGGGATCGTTTGGGGTGTTTTGATTAAAAAAAATGGCTAACAGTGAATTGATTGTATTTTAATTTTTATTCAATTCAGGTACTCATGTTCAATTTTTGGATTTGATTTGAAGGAATTTCTTAAGAAGAAAGGTTAGGGTTTCTTGGTGAGTTCTTTGAGATATGGAGAAAATTTTCATTATGACGGGAACACGAGTAGTACACTACGTGTTTTTATGTAAGTGGTGAGAAATTTTATTTTTTAAGTTATTAACTTTTTAACACATATATCTCATCATTTATATAATAACACGTGGTATACCACACAGTGTACCAGTCACACTAAAAAATCTCTCTGAGATATGGATCTGGGTGGTTTTCTTTTGTTTAAATCTGGGGCTTTTGTAGCTTGCGACTTGTAAATGAATCAAATTTTTTTTTTTTTATGATTTCAGGAGATTTAATTTTTTTTAATATTGATTTTCCTCATCGGAACGACTTCAAGACCATTATCATTAGCTAAGCCCTTGATAGTAACGTCCAGTCACTCCATTTGCCTTCCCGGATTTTCTTCTCCCTCAGCTCCTTAGGGGACATGAACAACTCCTTGTTTTCAGCTGGCTGATACTCTTTTTGAAGCGACGGTGGTCCTTGAGGGTAGTGGCGGCGAGCCTCGGCCTCCTCCGCAGCTTGTCGAGAGTCAATGTTCCTAGGGAGATGGTAAACCATTCCCTTCAGGTGCTACGGTTTCGAGACATAGGCGTAACCGTGTTGATGTTGGCCGTTCAGCTGCTCCAAGCTACTGTATAGTGAATACAGAGACTTTAGATGCTTGACATCTATGCAAGAGGAGTTTTTCAAAGCATTGCCACACTCCATGATAGTTTTCGATAGTTTAGCTTGAGGAACATGTTTAAAAAAGACCTTCGTAAGAAACATTGTGGATCAAAGATGAAGGAATGAGTAGAATTTGAAATTGGAGGGAAGTGTTACATGTCACAATTAGTTCAAATTCTACTCATTCCTTCATCTTTGATCCACCATGTTTTTTACGAGGGTCTTTTTTAAACATGTTCCTCAAGCTGAACTATCGAAAACCATCATGGAGCGTGGCAATGCTTTGAAAAACTTATCTCGCACAGATGCCAAGCATCTCAAGTCTCTGTATTCATTATACAGTAGCTTGCGCAGTTGAACGGGCAACACCAACACGGTTACGCCTACGTCTCAGAACCGCAACACCTGAAGGGAATGGTTTACCATCTCCCTAGGAATATTGTCGCTCGGCAAGCTGTGGAGGAAGCCGAGGCTTGCCGCCACTGCCTCAAGGACCACCACCGCTTCAAAAAGAGTACAAGTCAGCTAAAGACAAGGAATTGTTCATGTCCCCCAAGGAGCTGAGGGAGAAGAAAATCCGGGAAGGCAAATGGAGTGACTGGCCATGGTATGGGAGTTTGTGGTGGTGAGCAAGTGGCTTGATCCCGGAAGAGAGCCACTATCAAGGGCTTGGTTGATGATAATGGTCTTGAAGTCGTTCCGGTGAGGAAAATCAATATTAAAAAGTGAAGAACGAAGGCGTGCATGGTATATGGAACTACAATAATTTGCAGTGAGCTGTGTTTCTTTCCAGCGAGTCATTTCTTTTGAGTCAGTATTGTCTTCAAATCTCAGTTTTCATTAAATAATTGTTGGTTAGGTTGAGTCCTCAGTCCTAATCATCATAGGAGCGTAGCTAATAGAGTGTAGAGGTTTATGTCGTCGGCTTTGTGTCTCTATGAGACCTTCCAATTCCATGGAAGAGGAGCACACTTGTTTAACAAATGCGATATGAAATTGTATTAGTATAATATTCTCTATTTATTTCTTTTCTATGTTCTTTTAATGATATGATATTAGGTGAATAATATTTTCTGTGTTTTAATCACGTTAATCGTCTACGCGTTAAACATGTGCAAGTTCGAATTGTGTTAGATGTGAGCTATTCTAAAAAGTAATGTTAGAGATACCATTAATTTAAATCATATTTTATAACTACTTATTGATTGGTTTGAAAGCGAACCCTTCATTTAATTTAATGTAATATTTTTCTTTCACAAATTTGAAACATATATATCACTAGTTAGGTTTTTTCTACCATCTTCATACTCCACCTTGTAAATAAGGAACCGATTAAGAATGGAGGGAAATGTTATATGTCAGTATGTCACAATGCATGTGACCAAAAAATTGTTACATCTTTTGTTTATTATTGGGGGATACATCCGTGGGCCCGTTTAGCCAAAAGTGGAAAGGAAAACCTTTTAAGGTGGTGAGGGAGACGAGGAGTGTGGTCCCAACTCCCAGGTCGAAGGTGTTCAAAAGTAATATATTTTCCTGACCATAGGGGTCTCAGGTATTGTGAATGTTTTGATTTATGTGCAAGCAAAAGTTGAGACGATGGATTTGATCAAAAAGTTGGATATATAATACCTGTAACGTCGACTACTCATTCCTTCGTTTTGAGAGTTGGTGACATGTTTTTTCAACGTTCATCGCCCCTCATTTTCTCGGCTTCTATCGTCCTTTTTTAATGTCTTTACAAAATAGAAATTGGGGTTTCTGGCCTTTTGGTTCCAGGGATGGGCCTTATGTTCATCGGGTTTCCCCAATTTGTTTCGGCTTGTTTGCATTACTTTGCGTTGGCCCTGTACCTGTATTATCCTTTTCTTTTAAGTCATGGCCTATTTGCAGCGGTTGTGGGATTCCACATTGTGTTGGAGGGAACCGGATCCTTCAAAACTGAGTCTAATAATTGTAGCTGTTGGATCAAATTTCAATGGTCCGGATTCATGGCCGTCCCTGAGGGTAGCCGGGGTAGGCGGTCGCCTAGGGCCCCTAAGTCTGGGGGGCCCCATATTTTCTTATACATCTTGTATATAAAATATAAATAAAGAAAACGTAAGAAATATCACAAGTATTTCGTTGGAGCAGTGGAAACGGTTCCACTCCATTTTCATTGGGGTGGGCATTTCAAAACACCTTGTAGGCATTAGATTTTGCTTTTTTCAAATCTATGAAATTAATGGTCCCAATCGGCCAAATCCATTTTTTTTTCCTTTTGCTTTTCAAAGTAACCTCCAAAAACAAACCCAAAAAAAAAAATCATAGAAAGGGTGAGATTTACTCCATATCTATATCTATACATATAAATGGAGCATCCCAAAATAGTGAAACATTTAAAATATCACTAGCCTCTTTGCACACACTAACGTTTGATTCACTAGTGTGTGTTGATTTGTTTGTTAAACTAGGTTATTCTAAAATTTGATTTGCTAGTGTGTGTTGATTTTAGAAAGAACACAAGAGAACCACTTGACGTTGTTGAATTATTATATTCGTCAATCAAGTTTTATTGTTTTTTACTCTCATGAATCAACAGTCTTGATCATCAAGTTTTATTACTCTTCACACTCAATCTTAGACTCTTGACTGCAAACACTTAGTGCATTTGCGTCTAAAGACATGTGACATGTAATATTAAGTAAAATTAGTATATTTTTTTTTCTTTTGATATTAATTTTTAATGATATTCGATAAAGAAATAAATTTTTTATGTAATTAGCAAATTCTTTTTACTACATACCAATATATAAAGAGTCGGAGGTTTGCGAACTTTAGGGGCCCACTTTGAAGACTCGCCTAGGGCCTCCAAATTCTTAGGGCCGGCCCTGCCCGGTTCATTGATTAGTGGGCTCAGTTTTGAAGGATCCGAAGGGGATCCGGTTCCATGTTGGAGAGACTGCACTTACGGGGAGGAGTGTTGGAGTATGCTTTGCTTGTTGAAGAACATTCACATATGAAGACTAGAAAGAGTCCCTAACCCAATGAGTAGTTTATGCGATTTACTACTAGCTATCCAACTAATTTATAATTTCCTTCCAATATCATACTTTTGTTTACTTTTTCGTCAATTTCTCTATTATCTGTATACGTGGTCGTTGCGGGACTCACTCCATCACCCAGCTGCATACATCCAAGCTGAGCCATGTCATCAGTGATTGACTATTGTTATGTGTTCATCCCCATGAGAGGGAAAAACCACGGGAACGTCTTGAATGCTTCCTTTCAATCAATATACCAAATTACAAAACAAAATTCTAACAACAAGATTAATAATAATTAATGTGTAAACAAAACAAGTTTTACTTGTCTAATTAGTAATTTTCATTAGTCGCTAACAGGTTATTTGTTAGTAACTTGACATGATATGAGATTAAAGGGGTGCACCGACCGCAACTCAATCATATGCAGTGTTTGAAATTTTTGGTCGATATTTTCGTAAAATATCAAAAAAATCAGAGAAAGATACAAAAAGACCTCATATTGAAGAAGCTCTTAAGTTTCGGCTAATTTCGATAGATTTTGTCGGTATTTCCTACGTATCGGTTAAATATTAGAGAAACTCTTTATATTTTGTCCAAACCAGTGTTTGATAAGTTTCATTTTAAATTTCCACGTTTTTAGCAAATTTCCATCATTTCTATCGAAGACAATCAATACTGATATTGATACATTTATCGATATTTCCACAAATTTTAATACTAAAAAATTCAATCAACAATACGATGAAAGAAAAAGGAAATTGGATGGTGCTATTTACACACTTATTTTACTATTCATACACGCTTGTCAATTTGAAACTGTCAAATTAAATAAATTGATGAAAATTAATGGACAAAAAATAACAAAGATCTGTAAAAAGTAAAAGAAAATGTGCACCCTTGAAATTAACACCACCACCACTTCCCAACATTAATCTCATATATTGGACTTTAAAACCACTGGCGGATCCATATAGGAACCCGAGACCCTTTGGAAGCTCGAAGAAACACTTGTGATCGACCTTCGGGACCCTACAACAATTTGGGCAGGTGCAGTGGAGAGGCTTGTTGCCTCCATGGATGTGCAGGAAGCAGTGCTTGTAACAAAGAAGAAGAAGAGGTTTTTAATTTTTGTTTTAAAAGACCTAGCCAAAACGGCAACGTTTTTTAGCCAGGTCATTATACAAAAATTTAAAAATTAAAGTATCTTTGTTTTCTCTATAGAGTTCGTCTTTTCCAGTATCCCCAAATTACATTTAAGAACTCCTAGCCCCAATATATCGTCACAACCTTCCAACTTTAAACCCAAGTTACCCTATTCCCTACCACCATTTGCCGTTCTATCGCAATTTGCTGCCTAATTTTATTTCTTCCAAATTCATATAAGTTTTTTAATCCTAGACTCTAATCCCAACTCCCAATTAATAATATATATGTTACATTAACAAATTTTATCTTTGTAGAGTCATTAATTGCGTTATGTTGTTGAGGAGAATTTGTTGGTTTTATTACCTTTGAGATTAATCTTGATTTATTTAATAAACCAAATTTAATAGAAAATGATGATATGGAACCAAATTAATCTAATATTTTTTTTTAAAACTTTTATGTTGAGACTCTCCGATCTTGAAACCGCCACTGCTTAAAACAAAAACCATTTCTCTAAAAATAAAATGAGAGAGAACAAAGGGTGGTGGAGGAGATATAACCTATAGAAAATGACGTTAAAGAAAATAAAAAATAAGAACATTACAACTTTGACGTTTGGTGAGCGAGGAGTTAATAAAAAATGAGGTTTAATCCCTGATCGTTCGTTCTATTGTGAACGGTGAGAATTAAGGGATCCCCGAGGGTCCGCATGGATTGTGTCCGAATAGGATCTAAACCTTAGGTGAAAGAATCGGACTTGCGAACAGTTTTGGCATTTCCCCACCACCAGAGGAGCTTCGGCAAGCTCCGCCTTGCTCCGTCGACTTCCTGCGATCTCCGTCATCTAGTATCTCAAGTATGAATATTCTCTTAAATTATCGTCTTTTTTGCTATTTTCTTTTAAATTCAGTTCGACCTACACAAAATGATTAATTAGAGTGTGGAAATAGAAGAAAATTGGACACTTTTTCGCGGATTTGGGTCTTTTAAGTTGACGGAAATTGGGGTTGGGGGGGGGGGGATGCCATTAGTTTTGGTGTTGATATTTTAGTGATTGACAAAGTGAGAAATTTTGTTTCTTATTCTAATGCATGAAAGCTTGAATTTGTGCTGCAATTGAATTGGTCTTGTGGATTATCACTATGTAGAAAATATGTTGAACAATGCTGACATTTCGATAATCGGGTTGTTGTTTACCCGTGCAATCAAGCGATTTTCGACTTGGGGTTGCTGTAATAGCTCTAGTAATAGTCTACTTAAGTTTTTGTGCTATATAGCTCGATGGATTATAGTGCTGAGCATTGTAATTAGTTTTGAGTTACGTGCAATTTCAGGGTGTATGATCTTGTAATATTCATTGTCGAGAATTAGCCCTTTGATACATGGCTGAGCCCGAACCTAGAGGTCGCACTGTCCTTGAGCCACTGTCATTGTTCAACCTCTCTGACCACTCTCGTGCACGAGTTACATCCCTTGCTATCTCCACGCTCTCCGACTCCCAATGTCTAATTTACCTTGGTACTCAGTTTGGAACCTTAGTTTTATTCTCTGTAAATCCTAATGATCAATCCCCATCTGATCCTTCCAACAACCCTTCAATCCCACAAAACATTTCGTTTTTGCAAAAGGTTTTGGTTGGCAATACCTCAGTGGAGTCTATCCAAGTATTTGGTGAGATTAAGAAGCTTTTGGTACTTTTAGACGGGTTTCTGTTTTTGGTTGATTCGCTTCTGTTACACCCCTTGAAGAGATTGAGTTTCTTGAGAGGAATTTCTGTCATCACAAGGAGGTTGCGAAGCAGTGAATCAGAATGCTCGAATTTGTCAGGTCTTAGTAATTCATCAGAGTATACAAGCACAAGTCAGCGGCTTTTGCAAAAGTGGGGAAGTGGGATCAGAGCAAATGGCTTGAAAATGAAAGAAACTGCGCAGCAGCGTTTAGGCCATCATGTTTTCTCTGTTGTTATTGGTAAAAGATTGGTATTGGTAGAGCTTGTTTTGAGCAACAGAGTAGGTAAAAGTGACCAAGACATTGATGATGGGTCTTTTGTAATTCTCAAGGAAATTCAGTGTATCGATGAGGTTATGACCATGGTATGGCTCAATGATTCAATAATTGTCAGTACGGTTAATGGATATAGTTTGTTTTCATGTGTTACCGGACAAAGTGGTGTAATATTTTCGCTGCCGGATGCTTGTAGTCTGCCACGGCTTAAATTGTTGTGTAAAGAATGGAATGTGCTTTTGTTGGTGGACAATGTTGGTATCATAGCTAATGCACATGGGCAGCCAGTTGGTGGTAGCTTGGTGTTCCATAGTGACCTGGATTCTATTGGGGAGATATCTTCATATGTGGTTATTGCAAGGGATGGAAAGCTGGAGTTGTATCATAAGAAAACAGGCAGATGTATTCAGATGATCACTTTTGGTGGTGAAGAGGTAGGAGGGCCTTGCATTGTTGCAGATGAGGAAGATGGAAGTGGAAAACTTCTTGTTGTTGCAACCCCCACCAAGGTATGGAAAAATATCGATCCAATGGTTATTTTTACTCTCTTTAGCTTCATTTCAGAATACAGACATGAACAAAACAAAGATTTTTATTTGTTGCCCTCCATGTTGCAAATTTATAGATTGTTTGCTATCGGAAATTACCCTCTGAAGAACAAATTAAAGATCTATTGAGAAAAAAGAACTTCAAGGAGGCCATCTCCTTGGTGGAGGACCTTGAGTGTGAGGGTGAACTATCGAAGGATATGCTCTCATTTGTTCATGCTCAAGTGGGGTTTCTCTTACTTTTTGACTTGCATTTTGAGGAAGCAGTGAATCACTTTCTGCAGTCTGAGACAATGCAGCCTTCTGAAGTATTTCCATTCATAATGAGAGATCCAAATCGATGGTCACTATTGGTATGGGATTTTTTGCTTGTAATCAGGGTATTCAGATCACATATAATATCATCCTATATAAATAAGACTCACATATGTTGTCTCTACCTTAATTAAAAACGAGAGGAGTGTTTTCTTTAAAAGATAATTGCACATCAAAATGTGTAAGAAATCAGGACATGCAGTGTGATACTCATTAGAATATCGAGGCTAATATTCTTGCTGTATTTTGTTGGGGATGTTAGATTACTAAGAAAAAAAGTACATAGACACTGTGTAGTTCAAGAAAGATCACATAATGATATTCAATATATCATTTTATGTAACAATCAACACAACATTGTGAATGCGAACAATTGTGAAAGAACTATCTTGTGCTTTTGTAGTAGTCATAAAAAACACACATCCAAAAGAAATTCCATCTGAAAACAAATTTAATTTTGGCCTGCATTTATGATGCATTTAGCACGAACATAAGTACTTCTATTATCAGCTTGCTTATTTCCATGCGTTAGTGCTGCTAAGCCATCTGAATTTTGTAATCATACTATTTGAACTCGCATTTTTAGGTTCCTAGAAACCGTTATTGGGGTTTGCATCCGCCCCCTGCACCCCTGGAAGATGTTGTAGATGACGGGTTGATGGCAATTCAAAGAGCAATCTTTCTTAGGAAAGCAGGTGTAGAAACTGTGGTAGATGATACATTTCTCCTGAACCCTCCAAGCAGGGATAAATTGTTGGAGTCTGCCATCAAATCAATTACTAGGTGACTACATCACTTCTGGTTACTTATTAAATGTTATTATCTTGATTTCTGTTGGTTCTTTTTATTTAATTTCGCAACTAACTTGTACTTGGATTATAATAAGGTTTTCAATGTACATTCTTGCTACAGGTATTTGGAGGTGTCTTGTGAGAAAGAGTTGACTCCATCAGTGAAGGAGGGAGTTGAGACCCTATTAATGTACCTCTACAGAGCTTTGAATAATGTTTATGACATGGAGAAGCTGGCATCATCAATGAATTCTTGCGTTGTGGTATGTTTTCTTGTTTCTTTATTGTTTGCCTCTCTCATATATACATTTTACCATGCCGAAGCATTTGTGCTTTTACAACTTTCCTAAATCAGGAGTACCTGTTTCCATCCTGCAGTATTTCTAGTCTTCTTGCTGTTATAATTCCTAAATTTGAATGGTTCATGTTGTAATTGAATACTTAGAATAAAAAAACAAAAAACAAGATTATATATGATCCAGTGCCCAAAATTTTGGTTTTTGTTTAGGTTAAGTACCAATGGAAATGGATGAAAAAGTTATCAGATGGTGTCTTGAGAAAAGCTTGAAAATATCAAGTACATTAACTATTAATAAAACTGTACACAAAAAAAGTTGTGTTCTCATTGTAGACCCTATTTATCCATTTGATTCCAACTACTCTAGGACTAGGATATACTCTTTAATCATTTATACCAGAATATGAATCGGAGAAAGTGATATAGTGATTGTTTGGATAAGAAAAGGGGATTGATGGTTAGTGTAGTTGAATAAAATGCTAAGAGAAATCCAACAGAAATTTCCCTCAATTTGCACCACAATAAAGTTGCAATTTTGGGTCGAAATACCATTAGATTTAATCTCTGAAAGATGGTTTTGGGATTTTAACCAACTAGAAAGGGCACACCATAGGATGGTAGAAATTGTGAGTACCATGCAACATGTCCTTGATTTGAAGACATTATATTATATTTGGTTTTGGAATCAAGAGAATACTTTATAGGCCTCAAGACAATGCACTGTCCCATGCATTGCAAAACAGAGGCTATTGTCTGGAGCCTGCTTGAAGGATGACTGTAGAACTTGCATGGGCGGTGCAGGAAGAGTTGGAAACTTTGTTAGATGACTCTGGGCATTTACGAACGCTTGCCTTCCTATATGCAAGTAAAGGAATTAGCTCAAAGGCTCTTGGTATCTGGCGCATCTTGGCAAGAAATTATTCCTCTGGCCTTTGGAAAGACCCCATGTTGGAGAATGGCTCACAGGATGGTGGTACAAGTATCATCTCTGGTAAGGAGACTGCTGCAGCTGAGGCATCAAAGCTTCTTGAGGAGTCATCTGATCCAGCGCTTGTTCTACAACATCTTGGATGGGTACGTGTTAATATCTGCAGGGTTGTTCCTATTTTATCTTGGATGGTTTATCTTGTTTTATTTTTTCAAGTTTTTTGAGAAATCTTACAGTTTGTGCTTCGCAAGTCCAATGTTTAATTAGGAGATGGTTGGTATTGTTAGGTTGCAGATATCAACCAGGTTTTTGCAGTTCAGGTTTTGACATCAGAGAAAAGAACTAATCAACTTCCACCAGGTGGGTCCTTGATTCCCAGTGAATTTTGGTTGATGTGTGTTTTTTTTGTTACCATTTGCATCCCAGTCTTCTTAGTTAAGCAAACCTTAAGTTCCTACATGTGTAGAAAATGACGTCTTTTGTTTAGGAAAGAATCTCAGTATTAATAATTCTGGAGGGAAAATTTGAAAGTATTCAATTGACCTAAAAGGCACCAAAGCACAAGGGAAGTATCCAGTTGTAAGGTGAGTGATGTATAAGAAGTGTGCACCTTAATGTCTGTGCCATCGGTCAACTATGCCAGAATGTGTCCATTTGGAAAATCTCTCTGAAGTGGGCATCAAAACAATTCAAAACTTTATTTTGTTATCAGCTTTTTGTCCTTTGTTTGTTTTAAAAAAAATAGTAGCCTTTTATATTAATGTATTATGCTGCTAACAAATGGTTATCAATAATGCTTAAAACAGTTTTAATTTATTTGAGAAATTCTCTTTTACTGCAGATGAAGTTATTGCAGCTATTGATCCAAAGAAGGTAGAGATTTTTCAAAGGTATGTCAATTACATAGACCACAGTACAGCCTCCCATGTTCATTGTATTTAACCACCTGTATCATATAATTGTTTCGCTTTTGGAGATTTCTAAGTAAAATGTACACATCTGTAATTAAAAGAAGTCCATTTTCTTTGGCTTACATTATCTCAATATTACTACATTGGGTGGTTGTTTTGTGGGAGTCTGATAATCCTCATCCATTCTAACCGCATATGGGTTCAAGTTGACTGTCTTGATCTGAATATGGTTTTGCAATCTTAAAAAATATGACGACATTTTTTCAATTATAATTACCATTATAACAGTACAATACTACAATGCAACCATGCTAAACTACCTAGTGTTTTTGTTAAAGTGCTATTCTTTGTATCTTACTGTTCCAGGGTGCCTTTTGTTTTGTCGAATGCATTTGCCATATTAATTTTTCCTTGATTGCCTTTACTGTGATATGTACTTATTACTTATCAGAAAGAAAAACAAATGTTTCTTCCTTATTTGATGTGATGTGACCTTCACTGCATATACTTGAGTTTTAACTCTTTATTTACACAGGTATCTTCAGTGGTTGATTGAAGATCAAGAATACAGTGACAGTCAGTTCCACACGTTATATGCTCTCTCACTTGCCAAGTCAGCAATTGAAGCTTTTCAAGCAGAAATTGCCTCCCAAAACCTTGATCCTCGAAGAATACAAGAGACAAACATTTCAGATAATAGAATAAGTTTTATCTTTCAAAGTCCTGTTCGGGAAAGACTGCAGATATTTTTGGAGTCTTCAGACTTGTATGACCCAGAGGAGGTTCTTGACTTGATCGAGGGATCAGAATTGTGGTCAGAGAAGGTCTGTCGTAACCCTTTATGGACCTTGTCTTGAATTCTGCTTTGAACCTGGCTATCTGAATATACTGATTATTTACTCTGAGCCATTTAAGTTTATTTTATTAGCTGTTGGGCCAATCATGGATGGCAGTTGATAATTTTGTAGTGCCAAAATGACCGGTCTTGGTTGTTTGATGCTGCAACTGCTCATCTCTGATTCTTAATTTATTCAACAGGCTATTCTTTACAAGAAACTAGGGCAAGAGGCATTGGTGCTCCAAATTTTAGCATTGTAAGTTTCATTTTGGTTTCAAAAATATCCACAATAATAACATTAATTACCACTTCAGCTGGGTATCATTTTAAATATCAGTAGCATCCGCACTTTGAAACAATAATTATTCCATGTGCAAACTTCAGCATGTGTGAACTAGTATACAATGGCTTTTCAGGAAGCTGGAAAACAGTGAAGCTGCTGACAAATATTGTGCTGAGATTGGGAGACCAGATGTCTATATGCAGTTGGTTCTCTCTCTCTCTCTCTCTCTCTCTCTCTCTCTCTCTCTCTCTCGCTCTCCACATGTGACAAGCACACAAAAACACCTATAGACACTTGTAAGTAAATCTCTGATGTATCTAAAATTGCCTCTTGATTATTTTCCATTTGTTTTTTTCTTTGAGAACTCAGGTTACTTGATATGTATTTGGATCCACAAGATGGTAAGGAGCCTATGTTTAAAGCTGCTGTTCGCCTACTCCACAATCACGGGGAATCATTGGATCCTCTGCAAGTTTTAGAGGTATCAGTCTCTGTCTCTGTCTCTGTCTCTCTCTCACACACACAACTTTTTGGGATATGGTGGGTACCAGAGAAAAATCGAAGTTCACACAAATGCACACTTTTGTTGAGTTACTTGTGTGCTAAAAGCACATTTCTATTGCTGGGGACCCTGCCAAGTATTTGATGTTTGTCATGTTCTGTGCAAAAAATCTGGTTTGATGTTGCAGAGATTGTCGCCAGATATGCCTCTTCAACTTGCCTGTGAGACTATATTAAGAATGTTGAGAGCTCGACTTCATCATCACCGTCAAGGACGGGTAAGTTTCGTTTGTGTTTGAGATTTTGTCATTTTGGCTTAAGATTGTGAAATTTTTTCATTCTTTCATTGGTTTTCTTTTTTTTTGTGGGTATTGAGCTATGTTCTCCATATCATAAGGAAACTAGTGAATCTGTTTTTTTCTGAAGTTTCTTGCATGTAGCCATATTTTGTGCTTTTCATTTCTTATTGAGCCGATACATTAATTGCTTTTCAGATTGTGCACAATCTGTCCCGTGCCATAGATACTGATGCAAGTTTAGCAATACTGGAGGAAAAGTCAAGGCATGTGCAGATCAATGATGAAAGCCTTTGTGATTCTTGTCATGCACGCCTTGGAACTAAACTTTTTGCTATGTACCCAGATGACACCATAGTCTGTTACAAGGTTGGTAACACTGGCCTTTCATAACACACTGAGGATAATTTCTTTTTTAATTTCGATAGTCCCATCTTTCATAAAAAATAAGAACGCCTAACAAGATAGCCCCCACTCTTTTTTTTATTATATATTTTCGATTTTCCTTTAACAGAAAAATCTGGTACTGTACTATTTCTAAGTTGCTCGTCTGGTTCGCTGTTGAGACACAGGAAAATACATGCATTTGTGGGAGAATGAACAATTGTTTTAATTAATAAACATTATGACAATGGCTTGATACCGATAAGAAAGGAAAATAAAGGCGAACTGGCATGGTGACCTGCTACATGCAACAAGATTATACAACCTTCCAGTTTAAATTTCTTGAGCGGATCTATTTCTAATGGCACTCTATATTAATTGTTCATGGCTAGTAATAAGGTTTTTTTCTATATTAACATCCTTTCTTGTGCAGTGTTTCCGTCGTCAGGGTGAGTCTACATCGGTAACTGGTCGCAACTTTAAGCAAGATGTCCTAGTGAAACCGGGTTGGCTTGTGACCAGGTAATCCAAAATGGTGAAGCAATGATGAAATTGAAGACTGGGGCTGGTCCGTCTTTGAGTCCATTCTCTACGGCTATTCTTTGAGGCTCAGGATCAGGTTTCATAGCAACTCAAGTCATCACGAAGTACAGTGCAGAAGCTCGGGGGTGAAAGATTCTGCAATCGTCCTGTTAGACCGAGGCCCCAATTTTTGTAGCTTAGTATTCGGTAAGGGACGTTCCAGCCATTATGATCTTCACGTGGAGTACGTGTTTCTTAGAATCATCTTCACGACCACCTTTATGATAGGGAAAAACTTCAAGCATGAATCATCATTACCATGATCGTCTGTGACCTGATGAAGCTCGAGGAACACGTAGTTTAGAAGTTTGAGATCCGGCAAATCCATTCCTGCTCGGAATCAGGAATAATACTGTGAGTTTGCATGACATGGGTTGAAATGACCAAGAGTTCGTCATACATACAGGAGGGATCAGGATTCTGCTTGTGAGTTCAATACGGTGTTGTGATAAAAAAATGTTGTTACATTCAGGAGATCTTGACGAATTTGTAAATTGTGGTAAAAAATGTTGTTACATTCAAGAAATTTTGATAAAAAAAAAGGGATGCTATTATTACTACTTACGAAGGGAATTTCCAAGTTAAGTTGGAAGTTGTTTTATGATGTTACAGGCGTTTATTAGACGAGCGGTTCACTTTAGGGTTTGGTTAGATGACTTCGCTTTTTAAAAATGTGGCAAATATTTAGTAAATGTATGACGTCACTTCTACCATATCTTTGGTTGCAAAAGAGAATCTATTTTGAATTGAGTTTTTTGCCTTTTAAATATGCTTGTAAAACAATGGGATCAAGTTGATGGAAAGCGCACAAAACCTACAAAATTTAAGGGAGACTCTCATTATCTGGATATGATTTTTAGACTAGGATAGATTGATAGAAAATCTGAATCAACCCACAACCAAACAATCTCCAACCAATTACAATCATCCACCTCAGCCTCCTTACTCCCCCCACCTTATCCCCTCTCCCTCTTCTCTCCTCCACCACCAGTCTCTTCCTCCAAGATTCTAAAAACCTGCCCTCCACACTCTTTCCCTTCCAAGATCTCCTCCTTCCTCTCTGCTCCTCCTCACAACCCCCATAACCCTAAAAAAACAGAGAGGAAAGAAAGAACCATGTCTCTCACAATCCCCACAAACCTCTCAAAACCTATGTTTCAGCTGAAACTGAGCTCCCCAATGGCCACAAAGCTGCCAAGAACCGTGGTCTTCTGCTCAGCCTCCCAAAACCCTAACCCTACCCCAGAGAAAATATCCACTGCATCGCCCATGCAGGCGTTCTCCACTGCACTCGCACTCTCCTCCATCCTCATTGGCTCAGCCCCCATGCCTGCAGTTGCTGACATCTCGGGACTCACCCCATGCAAAGACTCCAAGCAGTTCGCCAAGCGTGAGAAGCAGCAGATCAAAAAGCTCGAGTCCTCACTGAAGCTGTATGCACCCGACAGTGCACCAGCCCTAGCCATCAAGGCCACCATAGAGAAGACTCAGAGGAGGTTTTCCAACTATGGCAAGCAGGGTTTGCTTTGTGGGTCCGATGGGCTCCCCCATTTGATTGTCAGCGGTGACCAGAGGCACTGGGGTGAGTTTATCACGCCTGGTATTTTGTTCCTGTACATTGCTGGGTGGATCGGGTGGGTTGGGAGGAGCTACTTGATTGCCATTAGGGATGACAAGAAGCCGACGCAGAAGGAGATCATCATTGACGTACCCTTGGCTACTAGCTTGGTTTTCAGAGGCTTCAGCTGGCCTGTGGCTGCTTACAGAGAGTTAGTGAATGGTGAACTTATTGCCAAGGACGTTTGAGCTTCTTTTTCTTGTTTGTTTTTAATTTCTTTGTATAATTTGTAAAATTACTTGAAATTATATGTACCAAATGCTTGTGTTTGAAACTGATCCCACGTAACATTTCTTTTTCTATTTGTGCTATACCTAAGCATAGTTTAATTACCGTCATATGGTAGTAAGGTACTCATTTGTCATTTGAAAATACTTGGGAACCGTATCAAATAGCAGTTTGGCGTGTGTGTATAAGCTGTTCTTTTTGTTATTTTAGTGAGTTGCTTTGCAAACATGTTAGACTGTAATTTGTAGGTAAGTAGGAATGACTTACATGAAAATTTGTAGATCAATTGTGCAAATGACAGAGAGATGAACATACTGCAACAAGGTGATGTCATTTGGCCTCAAGAATGCGGAGGTTACCTACCAAAGATTGGTGAACGAAATCTTCAAGAACTTTTTTGGTACAAAATCTTTAACCAAAGACTTTAAACATAGTAATTTTCTTTGTTTAGGTAATTGTCACAGTTAGTTCGTGACACTTGTTAGTCAAGCATATTGTGTGTAGAGTAGACAATTCATAATTATTTCGACAAAAAAAGACAATTCATAATTAATCCTCCCTGTATTCAACGGCTATGGTTATATCTTATATGCATGCGGTCAATTGAAGAACTCTTTTGATAAAACTCTTCAAGAAAAAAAGACTTATGACATAGTAATTTCATTCTTTAGGTATCTGTCTATCACGCATATTATGTGTTAAAAATCCATAAAAAAAAAAATTAAAAAAAAATTCTTCATATATCAAACGGTTGTGGTAATATGCAAATAAAAGAGTCGTTTCCAAAACAGAAAAGCAGCAAATGATCAAATATTTACACAAAAATAAGAGGAAAATAACTTTTTTTTTTAATAATATTTCATACATTTACTGCTCCATAATCTGCAAATCCTACTACAATCCTCTTCCCAATTTTGTTTCCAAACTACCAATTTGTTTAGTGGATTCACACATCCAAAGTCATCAAGTCGCTTGGAGCAAATATAAAAAGTCCCACAAGACTATATGATTACCCAATGTACATATCGATAAGTTAAACTAATATTTACAATCCAGTTACTAATGGAAAACCCTTCTCAAACTGAAGCGGGCGAATCGCCTTGGTCACTGTCATTGTCACCGTCACCGCTTGAACTGTTGTAACCGTCCTTAGGTTTACCCCCGATGTACATTAAGGACTATATTATAAGTGCTAAAGCAAATATTAGGCATGATGACCAAAGCTAATTACTCTCTAGATTATAGTAGAGTAGACTTCAGTAATTAATTAGGAAGCATTTTTGCTCACCACCATAAACTATGACGTATGCTCACCATACACCTAATTAATTGACATGTGTCATTTCACTTAATCTTGGTTAATTTTTTTCAAAATTGAAAAACTAACATTTAATGTGAAAGTTAACTAGAGTTAAGTGAAATGACACGTGTCAATTAATTAGATGTATGGTGAGCATACACCATAGTTTATCGTGGTGAGCAAAAATGTTTTCAATTAATTAAGCTTAGCATGACCACATGGACTCTCCCATTCCCAAGCTGGTATGGTCCACCATCATATCCATGTCGAAAATGGGTCGAGCCTGAGAGCCCATGAACTTAGATGAGGGTGACCTACTATTACTCGGGCTAGCCGGACTTAACCCATGGTTCGAGAATGATGCGGTCTGACGCACTTTGAGGTGCACCACCTCTGCCTGAGCCACAGCCAGTTGGGTTTGAAGCACATCAATTTGTTGTTGTAAAGACGAAATTGCCCCAACGCACCCATAAACTGGGTCTCGCACCCTGGCATTTGCTTCATACACCATGCTACTAACTGCATCTCCTCTCTGGTGCTCTGGCAGCTCCTGCAATTGTCACAATTAAACATGGTCTTTTAACTTTTGACCACAAAAGCAAGTTGGCAGTGGTTACGGTGAAAACTTACATCATAATTGACAATTTTTCAAATTAATCACTGTGAGTGATTGACTTGAAATATTGTACAACTGAGTAAGTTAGTCTCCTAAAGTGGCTTCTAAACTAGTAACCCTAGTCCCGAATGAGAGGCCAAAGGTCCTACAAGACATGTTTTGGCTTGATGTAATGATCACTACCACTCTATGATCTTTGTAGAACAAATATGCGTCACCAGCCATGCTTATTCATTTGGCTGAACAAAATATATGGTCCCAAATCAAGTTATGACACTTTATTGGTTGCCTGCCTCTATCTATGACTATGAAGCATCATGTCCTACAAAAAAGAATTGAAATGTAAAAAAGGGTAGAAGATATATAGTGATTTTTACATTTGTTTTTTCTTTTCATTTTGTACTTTTCTTGTTGTTTTCTATTTCTTGATTCTATTTCGATTTAGGGCTAATTATATTTTATACCTTCAAGGTTTAAAGTGATTTTTAAAATGAATGGGTCATGTGGTTTTAATTTTCTTGAATTGCACCCTAAAGTTTTAAAACTATATTAATTTACACTGTTTGTCTAACGAATTATACAAATCTTCATTACCTGCAACATCTTGTTCACATTGCTGGCACCAAACACTTTGTGAACATTAGCAAACTTTTGGGGCTCATCCGCAGGAAAATAGGGAGCGAACACACAATCCTGAGCACACCTTCTTCTGAGAAGCTTGCATGCTGCACAGGGCGAGGGTGCACCTTGTTTCCTGCTGCTGCCATTCTCCTTCATGCTTGCCACGTGTCTGATCTTCGTTGGACAAACGCAGCCCCCAACAGTATGCAGTAACCCTAGTTTTGTAGGGTAACACAATTTTGCCTTGAAATAGAAGGACAAAGGCCTATCTTATGAGTGTGAAGTAGAAGCTGATGACAGACAAAACAAAGAGGTAGCTAATTTAGTTGAAGAAGAAAAAAAGCAGAGAGCAGAGAATGAAGACTGAAATAGGAAAAGGATGAGGGATGTGAAGTGGGGAGGTGGTGGGCATTTATATAAGAAGAATAGGCAGAATTGCATCTGGGGTGGGGGGTCCCACTTGAAGACCCTAAAGATTTTTGGTCGATATAAAACTTCAATCCTGACATGACTAATTATTTGGCGCCATTTTAAACTTGTTGTTTTTCTCATCTAGATAACATAATATAACATGCATGTGCTTAATTTTGTAATGTACACCAATGCAATTAGTAATCAGGGCAACTCAAAGCTTTTCATGCTGTTTTAGGTCCTGCAGTTCTGTAAAAGCTAAAATCTATTGATGTGAACATTGATCGACTAGTTTTTATTATAGTTTCAGAAAAGTATGCGTTTAGAGACACAAATTTGGCGTTAGTACTATGATTGGTCATTTTTGGATGACTCTTATTTTTTGAGATTATCAGGAATTTCCTACTTCGCAAGACTAAGCAAAGATAACATATTGAAAGGATTGAACTTATCAAACGAGACCTATTCAACTACAGAAAATTTCTTCTGGTTCGCTACTTAGATTATTGGATTTGTCTAATTCGTGTTGTGGCTTGAAATAAACATGGGTTTGGATTGTGAGAGAGATTCATAAATTACAACGGAGATTCTTTACGGATCCTTATTCTACAAAAGTTAAATTTCAACTTCGAAGGAGTTTTAATTTGTAATTTTGGAGTTTTGATTGTATCCTCATGATATATCAATAAATAGAAAAACGAATTTACAATAATTATCGGGGGATAGTGCCATTCACATACTCATTTTTACTTTCTACACATCTTTATTAATTTTTGGTCATTGGTCTTATTCAATTCATTCGATCCAGCAACCGAAAATTAAAAAAGGTATGTAATAAGTAAAAATAAGTGTATGAATAATATTACCCTTTACCGAGTTGGTGTTCTGATTCGGTTGGTACTGTTGAGGTCTACCATATGTCAATATATGGGCACTACTCACTTTTATTTATTTTTTTACACTAGAAGAAATTGGACCCTTAACCTATAAGAGGCCTCTAGATTAAGATTTACGTACCAACCCTCTTACTCTAATCTTAAGAATAACACATAATATATAGGGATACATATACATATATATATATATATATATTTGTATGAGTATTGAGTACTATTAGATAGACTAATTTTTTAGTTTATATTTGTGAATTATGTGATGTGCCACCAATACGAAATAAACACGTTAATCAACACTTAAATAATAATCTAATCATCAAAAACCACCTTATATAGTTTACAAAATATAGTTTAAATCGACAATCTCCTTAGCATTACCCATATATACACACACTTGAAATATTATAGTTGAGGATCCAATGAATGTACAGGAGCATCCATATGCCTTGCATGTCACACTTTTCCACTTCTAACTTTATGTGTAGAACGATGGAGCCTTGCATGTCACACTTTTCCACTTCTAACTTTATGTGTAGAACGATGGAGCAGCAAAACCAAAATCCAGATCATGAGTGTGAACCTGTGGACTTCTGAACTTGGAATACAATGCTGTGCCACTTATGAAGAAAAAAAAATCTTATTATTTTCACAGAAGACATATTAGAATATTAGGACTTTCTGGGGATTAATAGTAGATTTGCATGCATAAGCAAGATCCAGTATTCCAAAGTCTTTTTTTTTTATATGGAAAATAGAGATGGTCTTTTAAAGCTATAAAGAAGAGAAATTTCTAGGCACTCTGCTCTAAAAAGTTGGAAGGTGGCAGACACTTTGGTCCAATTTCTAAAAAAAAATAAAAAAAATTAGCAAAAAACCAGTTAGTGGAGAGATTATTTAGTATATCGAAAACACGGCATACATCAATGTTATAATATAAATGGTTGAATACTTAAAATTAAAAATTTCAACCACTTGTATTATGACATTTGATATATAAAACCGTGTTACCGACATACTGAAAATATCTTCCAATTAGTGGTCTCTAATTACAACAAAGTAGAACTGATTCTTTGGCATGCACTTCATATGTGTTAATTTTTCTACTTAGGTGGTGTGAGCATTTGTTAATTTCCAATGTGCAGGGGATAATTTAGATATCAAATTTACTGCTTCTGAGTATACAATTCGGCCCATGTATGTAGCTCAGTCATTGTCTTTAAGAAAAGGAAAAAGAAAAGGAGGCAGATTGTCTGCTCTCCTGTTTGGATGTCATTCTCATCCCTTTCTATTTTGTGCGGTTATGGTTAAGTCACGTCAACATTTTATATTAATTTTTTAATAGAGATAATAAGACAAAAGGTAATAAGAATATAAAATGTTGACGTGGCTTAACCGTGACCGCGCAAATATGAGGGGATGGAAAGGGCACTCAAATAGGAGGGCAGACAATCTGCTTCCAAAAGAAAAAGTATATTGGCCTCTAAAACGAGTATTTTTTTTCTTCAGACATAATAATTAAGTCCAAAACAAAGAATCTAATCCATATTTTTGGAGTCTTTGATAAGTTTTGCTTTCGTTTAATTATCAAAAGGTGGCCGCTTAGTATATGATCTAGTGGTATTCTTCTTCAATGTAAGTGAACATTTTTTGGTTTGAATATCATGAATGACAAGTTCGATACTAATTTATTCTCACATCCTGACCTTAATGTATCGTTATAAAACAAATTTATTAAAATAGAGAGAGGTTATAAATAAATAGGGCCATATATATGGAAAATTAACACACAAGAAAACTACGTAATTCTTCAAGAATTTCCTAACCTACTAGTCTTTTGCCACACGCCTTGAACCCCTTCTCCCTTTGTATATAGAAATTATATATTTACACCAAAGAATATTTGAAAATCCCAATTTTAGTTACAAATAATCATGGGGTTTTTTATTAACACCCCACATATTGTTGAATACACCCCACATAAAAATTTATTGTTAAGTGGCTTATATACCTAATATAAAATGACCATTTAGGCCTAATAAAATTTTAAAAAGGAAAATTATTTTCTAAATACACCCCAAGTTAATTTAGACGTGTATTCTAAGATTGTTTTTTTTCAAGATCTCAAAGTCACTCACCTCCTTCATTGTATAACAAAAACCCTAACCACTAGAAGCACAAAACGTTAATGCAAAAAGATTATTTTTCATCCTCGTTCTGCATATCTGATAAGAGAAATTTTGGAATTGGAAAGAAAAAAAGGAAATTGGTTAGTTTAACACCAGCAATACATTTTTTTACTTTGCAGGTGCAACCTAGAAGAACAAACTGATATAACACCGAATAGATGTGCATGTGAATTCATATATATTCGAATAGAGAAGGAACCATACAATGTTATCAAAGAAAAGATTGGCGGAAGGTATGGCTATTTAACCCCACCGAATAACAATGTTATAAATTGAATAGAGAATAGGGGAAATTTTTTGTTTCATACTTGATTCTAGTTCCTTCGCTTGTTCATTGCCTTCTATTCGTTGTGAAGAAAACAAGTTTATAGAACTTATGAAGAGTTTGATGTGGGATTTGAGTAGAGCGTGTGGGGGTGGGAGGGGTAGCATTGAAAAACACTTGAGCTGTATTAAAATAAATTTTGATTTAAAAAGTACATGTGGGATGTATTAAGTATGTGAGGTTAGTAAACAAAACATGGGGTGTGAATAAAACAATCCATAATCATTTATATACTAAATTAACTGAGATGCTGTTTTTTTAACCTATGTGATTTTTTTGTTTTTGTCAAACAATAGATTTGTTAGATTAGGGAGCCGACGGGATTCGAACCCAAGTCGTGATGGAATGGCAACACTCCTCTCCATCATTGTGAATTTGTGATAGAGGGTCACTTGCATCTATGTGAACTTTTGGAGTAACAAGTAATTGCCGTTGACTTGTGGCAGGGAGATCAAAGTGCACCCACTCCTGATTTCTAATGGGATGCAATATGATTAGCAACTAGAAAACTTTGACATGTTTGAATTAGTTAAAATCATGGCACTAATCGTACCTGAGAAGTTATATTGTAAATCATATTGAATCATGAGGAGAAATGACCCTGCAGAAAATTTTCATGCTCGTAATATAGTATATATTGTCTTGAATCTATGTGGTCATCCAAATTTTAAATATTGAGTGGTCCATGAATTTTTCTTAAGGAAATAGATATAGACTATACTGAGTGTAAAATTCATGGAAAGATTGTGTTACATCCATGCCTATTGCATGTGATATGATTAACGTAATTAATCAAATTGAAATTAAATTAACCAGACGTACTGATTTAAATGAACACAAAATGAAATGTGCATGAAGGAGTATGATGCATTATGTATACAAATTACGTTATTAGGCGTAGTGTAACTTATTTTTGTTGGTTAATTAGGTTTCGGTTAGGTACATTCAAAGTTCGACAACTATTTCTAAGTCCAAATTTAGTCCATATGTCTAGTACGTTGTATATTAATCTTCATTTCTTTTGTCAGTTTTGAGGTTAGGTGCTGCATATTGGAAATTTAGACAATTTCCAACGTCCAAATAGGGTCCATGAGCAGGGCTAGCTAGTGTTAACTTTTGAACATTTTATAAAGTATTAATGGTTGTTGAATTATTTGGAAAACTCCCTAATAGGGGTTTTGAAAACATAAATTTCCAACTTTAAATTTTAGCAAAGTAAATAAGTGTCTTTTCTCAAATTTGAAGACATTGAGGCTAGTCCGGATGAGAGACTTTAAAATTCGAAATAATTTAGGCAAATTGAGAAAGAAATAGACTACAAAATGTCAAATAGAGGGAATTATAAATGCACTTGATGTTAGATAGAGGGGATTATTAAAGTATGTCAGAGATATTTGTAAATCAATACTTGGAATGAGTCATTAATAAACCTCTCATTGCCTTGTAAATATTATGCCGTGCATTAGGTTTAATTGATTACAAACGGTCACCCTTAGAAACTTGAGAGAAACTCTCAATTTTTAATTGAATAAGATGTTAAGGTTATCAAATTACA